AACCTAACCCTAACCCTAACCCTAACCCTAACCCTAACCCTAACCCTAACCCTAACCCTAACCCTAACCCTAACCCTAACCCTAACCCTAACCCTAACCCTAACCCTAACCCTAACCCTAACCTAACCCTATCCCTAACTCTATGTATAATTCTAACCTATAATCCTATTTCCTATGTCTAATTCTAACCCTAATTTTAACCATTACCCTGACATTAACATTATCCCTATTCCTAATATTAATCCTAATACTATATTAACTCTAACCCTAATCTTAATGCTAACACTAATTATAAGCCTAACACTAATTCTGATTCTAACTCTAATTTTTAACTGTAATAATTAACATAATTCTATGTCTACCCATAATGACATTATGTTTAATCATAATTGTGGCTTGTCTGTAATCTTATCACTAATCCTTGTCCTAATAATATCTATAATCCTATTTATAAATCTAATTCTAATCCCCGAGGCTGACTATATCCCTGATTATAATTTTAATTCTAATCATAATACTATTCCTATCCATATTATTAAGCCTTATCCTATTCTTAATCTTAACCTTACTCTTAATCCTAACCATAATTCTAATGCTAATCTTAATCTTAATTGTAATTTAAACCTTAATGAATAATAATCAAAACCGTAACCATATCCTTAATATTATTACTATTCATATCCTTAATTTTAATCCTAACCCTAATATTATTCCTATCTAAGCCTAATATAAACCCTAATCTTAACCTTAACCTCATCTTATCCATATTCATGGCACTAACATTATTCAATATCCTAATATTAATCTTATTATTATCCATATAGTTATCTTAAATCATAATATTAATCTTAAAGGTAATCTTATTCCTATTTTAAACCTTATTCTTAAATATAATATTAATCCTAATATTAATCATAACCCTATTCATATCTCTATCCCTAATTCTAATCAATTCTTAGCACTATTCTTAATCTTAATATTAACCCTATTCCTAATCTATTCTTATCATTATTATAATCGTAATTTTAACCCTATTCATAATTTTAACCTTATTCCTAATCTTATCCTTAATTCTATCCCTATCCTAATCATCATTTATGTACTTTACACTAATCTTGTCTGTTTTTTATATATTTTTTTTTCTTCTTCTTTGTCTCTTATTCAATTGTTGTATATTGTCTTATGTAATATGTGTTGATTTATTCGTTACTTTAGTATTATTTTCTTTATGCTATACCTATTATTATCTATTATCCCTTATTTATATATGTATTATGAGTATTTCCTTTGTTGTATCTTCGTACTTGTGAAATGTTGTTATGCATTTTTGTTTACTATTTGCTATATCAATATCATCGTATTCGTTGTATAGCGGTAATTGCTTTTTTTTTCTCTCTCTCTACTACTGTAATGTATTCGCTCCGCTATGGTAATGTGTTCGCTCTGCAATGGTAATGTATCCACTCCGCTATAGCAATGTATCCGCTACGCTATGGTAATGTATTCGCTTTTTATTTTCTTTTATTTTATTTTTTTTTTACTGTTCTTATTCTCTCTTGTTTGTTTTTTTTTCTTTATCTCTGTTATTATTGTTATTATTTCTTTCTACGCTGTCTATTTCTTTTCTCTATCCCTTTCCCCTTTTCTGTCCTTTTTTTGTCTATTCTTCTCTCCTTTTCTGTGTATTTTTTTTTCGTAGTTTCTTCGTCCTTTCTCTTTCTATAATTCTTCCCATTCCATTTCCTCATCTCTGTGTATTTTATTCCCTATTCCTTCCCTTTTTTTCTTGCTTGTTTCTCCCTTCTCTTTGTATATACTTTCTCTGTTTCTGTTATTCTCTCTTTCCGTTCTCTCTTTCCCCCTCTGTCTGTGTTTCTGTCCACCTTTCTTTTTTTATATATCTTTTCTCTGTTTATATTTGCGTTTTTGCTTCTCCGTTCTTTCTTTGTTTGCTTGTTCTCCCGGTCTCTTCCTGTGCTCTATCTTCATGTTTCCCTTTTCTGTTCTGCTTATATTCTTTATCCTCCTTCTCGAACCTTTTTCTGTTCGACTTTTTTTCTCTATTTATTCCTTTATGTTTCTTTATCGCATTTTCTTTCCTTGTCATTGTTTCTTTCGTCTTTCTTTTATGTTTGCCTATTTTCTTTTATGTTTATTTTTTTTTTATTTACTTCTCTTTTCGCTTTTTTTACTTCATTCCTCTTTTTTTTGTCAATTTATTATTACTCTTTTCTTTGCTTCTTATTATTTACATTACTTCCGTTTCTTTCGTCTTTTTGCTTTCCTACCATCTCCTTTTATATATCTTTTTTTTTCTTTGTCTTATATATTACATTCTGTCTTTTCATGGGTTTCTTTGCTTCCCTTTACTGATTTTGCCTATTATTTGTACTTTTTTTCCTCAGTGTCTCAATTTTTCTATCTGTTTTGTTTTATTTACTCTTTTGCATTCTTTTCTGTTTATTATTTTTGCTCAATTTCTCTCTCTTTCTATGTATTTATTTTTTATCATTTTAATTCCTGTTTTGTCGGGTCCTTGTTTATCCAGTATTCGTTCCCATACTTGTTTTTGCTTCTTTTCTTATTATCTCAGTCTCATCCTTTCCCTTCTTTGTTCTTTTCTTAATATCACAACCTTTTCTTATTCTTTTCATTGTTTCTTTGTTCTATTCTGTTTTGATTTGTTTCTTTTAATTGTCACTATTCATTTTTTTATCACATTCCCTCTTTTATATATTCTTTGTCTAATATCCCAATCTCTTCTTGTGGTGTTCTTACTTTTTGTCTAATCCCTCCTTTTTTTCACTTTGTTTATTCTTCTGCCCTATTATATCAACGTTTGTTTTGTCGGGCATCATATTGAAAGCCCATGATAAGTTGTATCTTGTTCATCATTTTCCTCAATTGCTATTTTTCAATATTGATGAGTGATGTTGATGACTTATTTGAGATTTATGATAACATATCAAGAAAGTGTAATGCTAATTAACCATTGACGCTTGATAGCATATTTATAAGCTGGCAGGTGCTCTCTTACTACTGTTAAGAGCTTTCTATTTTTTTTTTAATAGTAAAACTTGTTTAGAATAACGAAATATAGACAGAGTAAATACAATTAGAACTGAATATATTTATTATGTTATTCCAAGATTGAATAGGGATCAAAACTAGTGTAGATATCAAAGGTATTTATAGTTATTTGACAGTGCCGCAGCAATAGGACCTTGATCTTGAATGCGGGATAATTGTATAAGCCTTGAACCAGTAACGAGGATGTGCTGCATCAGCGCTCATGAACCACCAGTCAAGGATAAACAACAAAGATGATCCAGGATAGAATGTTCTTCCTAATAGCTTTGACGGAAGAACATTTGTCGGAATTGAAACCCACTTCCAGGGACGAAAGGCCATAGGCTACCACTCTCTAGGAACCAGGATATAGATTAGCCATTTGATGGCACCACTCATGTTCCTTCGTGCTGCTTGAATAAAGACCTCTCACTTCTACTATGCATCTCAGCTCATTCTCAGATCCTCTTATGTAATAAACGACGCCTAATACATTTGCCTCTCAGAGATGATCTATATCCTCAACAAAAATGAAATTGATTATAACAGTTTAATGATATAATGATTTTAAACTATTTTTTTTACTAATTATTCCAGAGCACGCTCTATGTAGTGGTACATATGAGACCGCTCAGTGAAGCAATCTCTGGTGAGATAATAACTGGATAACATTTTCTATAAGTTCGCATACGCGAACTGGGCTATCTTCAGTTATCTTAGGCTACTTTCCCCTATTTTTCAAACACCGAGATGTTCGGTGTTTGAAAAATGTTATTAGGAATGATACCTCATGTATCAAGGTATCCAAGCACCGTGAGTCTTGCTTCTGATTGGCCATTCAAATGATACCTGCAGTAATAGGATATCCTATTCTTATGTATCACTTACCCTTTGTTCTGATTGGCTTTTAGCATAATGCCCATGGTACCCATGGTACCTAAGGTACCATTTCTCGACGACTCACGCCGTGAGTCGCCCAGAAATGTTATTAGGCCATTTTGAAAACACTTAAATGCCGATATCTCCCGCTCTAGTAATGCGTTTTGAAATTTTAAAACGCTGGTATAGTCTGCTAGTTCCGAGCTACCAACTGAATAAATTTAAAAGCAGTGAAAGCAAAATTCGTAGACTTGTAAGCTCCAATTTCTAGAACCTAAAGCACCATAACTTGAAGGCTTATATCTCAACATTTACTAATTAAATTTTCTTGTTTCAAAGTATGCATAGCTATTTGGAAGCCTCAGCTACTAGTTCAAGCTTTATACGGCAACATTAAACGCGTTTTTGGTTTTGACAAGGGTGAAAAAATGCATCGATACAAATCTCATATTAACTCTCAGGAATGAGTCTAAACTGCTTTTTTTGAAATCTTTAATACAATTATACAAGTTTTAGGTGCATATCTGGTTAGTTTCAGCACAATTGGCCTTGTTTTTAACGAATTTTAATGTGAGACGTTCCCAGCTCTCCGGATTTAAACTCGTATATCTCGTCATCCAATAGGCCAGCTGCTAAGTTTCAAATACTATTCTGTCTTTAAATTGTACCAGCTTTTTATCGGTTTAATTTGTTTTCAAAATTTATGACTTTTTTGTCGCCCCTAACACAGACGGGGTATTACCTTAACCCTAAATTATCCACGTTTTTTTTTTATTTTTTTTTTTGTTAACCCTGTTTCTTACCTTATTCTATCTTATATAGGTTTGCATATGCGAGCTTTTAGTGTGTGATGTTCATAAAGGATACCTCAGGCTACCTGAGGATACCTGGTGCTACCTCCCCCTATATTTCAAACACCGATTACTTCGGTGTTTGAGAAATGTTGTTAGGGCATTCCAATGCGGGATATTCGGATGCATCATCAGTATAGCCTCCAAGACCCTCTTTGCTGTGCGGTGGAGCTTCTTCCTGCGCGATTTGAGCTGTCCTGGTGTCAAATCGTGTACAGATGCCCCATTGCATAGTTTGTGCAAATGCTGGAGCATTGCGTTGTATCTCTCCACAGGAGAAGCTCTGGCCCTTCCGGTAGGGTTTGCTTCGGTTACCCGAGGACCTCTTCTGTTGCTGTTAGATAGTACCTGGCTTCTGTAAGTGGGATCCAGGATGCTTCTTGTTGCCAAATCGCTGCCTGCGTCTTCCAATGGCGACATGAATTGCTGTCGAAATCCATCATTCAAGACGTTCAGTTGTACGCCTTGTTGGCTGATTTCGGATCTCATTGCCATCATTTCTTGCAGTGAAGTCAATGCTGGTATCGTTGTTGTTGTTGTTGTTCATGGTTCGCGCTGATAATAAAAATTTAGTAAGCAAAGAAAAGATATGTTTAGAGTTGTGTTGTACCGTATATCTCGTTGCGCACACACCACCACGTTGTTGAGCGTCATTCGGTTCACAGGCTTCATGCAAGTAATGCTAACCTCATTGTACGCCCATAGTATAAGCATATGTGCACAGTGAATACCACTCGATTTGACATGATGTTGAAAGTGAAATGACGTAGAGGTAGCCTGAGGCGACATATCACATCATAGGAAACACGTTCCTTACTTGATCTTGGACTTTGAGTTACCAAACGTTATATGCAAGGCTACGTATCACTTGCTTGTAAACGATGATAAACGCATTTGTTGGCGAGCGCATATAAAACTTGAATTAGTATATAAAGCTGCCACTTGAAATTTGTTTTTACTTGCCTATTTTTCTTGGTTTCTCCAAACATGTCATTCTCAATCCGTATATCACGAGAAACAGAGCCATCCTTCTGTACAAATTGCTATACCAGCTTTGACAGTGCTCGTGCTCTACGCAACCATCGCCGAAACTGTCGTGCTCCCATTTTGAGTGAAGACCAAGATGTTGAAATGGAAGAGCAACCTCCAGTGGAAACAACGCTGATACAGCCACAATCTCCCCCCAGTGCGCTAGTCACAGCCAATTCAGATCATGCAAACCAGCTGCATGATGATGATGCCATGAGTGATATTGAAGAAATGATTCCTGCTGCTGACGATGCTGATTACGACTACGCAGACTTTGAACAGATGCCGGGTGCTGCTGATCTGCTGCCTATTGTCGATAATAATGGTAAGGAATTGCAGCGCTAAAGTAGATGTATATACTCACAATAGCGGATACCACACATGCGATAACAGGAGACAATCCAGAAGAACCAGGGCTGGAATTTGATTTGTTAAATGTCAAATACAAGACAGTTGGAGTAGTCGACCCAGATGCAGAAGATCAGGCTTGCTTCTACGATTGCAGATCCCTCGAAGACATCAACCAAAATACATATACAACCACAGAACTGGTTTCGATTGAGCTGTATGATATCGTCAATGATTTTGCCATACCACGGGATGCATACAGAAAGTTGGTCAGGTTGATGAACACTGTTTTGAGAGATACAGAAAAAATTAGTCGAGGTAATTCGCATTGCAATGACATGTCATTTATACAATAACTCACCAGCTTCCGATCCTCCCCCATGAACTGATAGAAAGCAATCCGGAGATCATGCATGGCCCTCGTGTGCAAAGCATGCTTCAGCGCCAATCATCGTTGACATCCCATGAATATGATGTGTGTATCAATGGCTGCAAGCTGTACGCATTGGAAGTAGACGACGAAGAGACAATTTGTGATATTTGTTCCCATGAAAGATACAATGCACGGGGAGATCGTCGAGCCCTGTCGACAATGAAAGTCATGTCAATTGGAGACATCGTATCACGATTAGTTGCGAATCCAATAACGAGAGAGGAGCTTCGGTACCGACATGCCTACGACAACAGAGACCTTGAAGAAAATCCATCCGATGTTATCATTGCTGACGTATTTGACGGCGCCACGTACAAGTCCATCAAGAATAAGCATTTCACAAATGACCTGGATATTGCAGTTGCGATCATGAATGATGGCTTTGTAGTTGAAAAGAGAGGTGATCGGCTATTCACAATTATTCATCTGATGGTGTTCAATTACGATCCACACAAGCGTTACTAGGAGGAGTACACGCACGAGCTTTGTATCTTTCCAGGAAAAAAGAAGCCCAAATCATTTGACTCGTTCATTTCCATCATCTTGGCAGAGCTCCAGTGGCTTTCTACGTATGGAATGGTAGTCGAAACAAATGACGCTGGGCCAATTCGTTTGAAGGTTCATCCTCTAATTTGTGGTGGTGATACTCCAGGTAAATATCCTGATTGATAAAGCAACTAATCAGCATCCACAATGGCTAACATGAAATTGATTTACCTACCTGCTTTATTCTAGCCGTGTTTGACTGGAGCAAGTGTGCTCATCATGCATCTGAGTATGGCTGTCGTTGGTATCTTTCGCGTGGTATGCACCCTGATAATCGCAGCCATGGGATGTACTTTCCAAATGCTGGAAGCATGCGTACGAATGAAGATTACGAGAGGGCTGAGTCCAACCTTGGATTCAACGGTGTCAGCCTTTTCAATCAGCTATCGTCATGCTTTGGATTCGAAGAAATGCATACATTAGCACGAGGTGTTGGTTCAGAACTCTTCGAGATGCTCACTGTCGGCCTGTCTCCGAACAACACAAAGTTCTTCTACACATATACAGATGGTGAATTGGAGCGAGAAAATTATCCATTTTTCATTCCAAAGCAACGGCTGTTCGAGATTGGCTGTTGTGCCAGAAGGGCTACAACTGTCTATAAAGATTAAGGTATTCTTGATGGGTAGATATGTCTGTGTTGTGCAACAACATGGACAAGCTATGATAAGTGAAGTGCATCTCAGCTATCTAAATACTGAGGTTCACCAGATGTGATAAGCGTTGTACAAGATAAATTGCTACTTTGGCATTCAGAACTTAGTATAAATAGAATAACTCCTGTCTTCATCAATAAATCTTTAGTTTTTGTGTCTGATCTTATTCAAATAAGTCTTTTCTTGTTTTTATAATATTGAACATTTTTTATAAGCTACAAATAATAATCCTTTTATTCTTTGTGCTTAACATTGGCAAAGCAATTGAGGACACAAGATCACATATACCAGTTGCATTTGATGGAAGCTTTTTGAATCTGGTGGAGAAGCTACGAGGCACCCGCAGTGTTGATTATCTTGATAATTTGCTGGTAAGATCAGATCCACTGTAATCTGCAAACGTACACATGTAAGGCGTGAATTAGGATCTGATTATTCTGATTTGAAATAGACCATCATACCTACTCTCTTTGTCCCAGAATTAGCCAGTCCACAGGCTAGGAAAGCAATCATGAAGCTGGTTAGAGGCGTCTGCCTTGCATTGCAATGGGAGTTCACTGAGGCTAGGTTGGCAGAGATTGATGAATGCATTGACTTCTTCATTGACTACTGCAAAGCTCAGAGAGATGCCATGTGCTTGTCACTTTCGGTCTTCCGTCACGTAATGCATCAGCTTACACATGTAGTGTGGATGATAAGAGAAATGGGGCCAATTGTAGCCTACTCCTCACGAAGTCAAGAACGGTTAGTCATCTATACATGCTATGTGTTATCACACACATCCAGTTACTTACATAACAACATCATCCATTTTACAGAAGCATTGGAAAGTTTGGTGATTTGATAACTGGCAAGTCAAGGACAGGCAAGCAATCTTCCAACTTGATTGAAATTGTTGCAATCAGAAATCAGCTGAAAAGGGTCTTCGACTCAAATGAGTTCCTCCAAGGCATTCGACCACAGCCATATGCATCCACCACATACCTCAATCATCCAGAATCTCTAACAAGCTCACAGTTGAGGGAACCTGATCAAGAAGAGACAAATTTGGATCATCATTTTGGCTTCGATGGTACTGATCGTGCTGAACTCCATGGTGTTCCAATTGCAAGATTCAAGCGTGCTTTGTCGAAATACTATTGCAAGATATTCTTACTTCAAAGGCTGAACAGTCCATTGTCAATGACCATCAAGGTTGCCCATCGTGCTCTAATCGGTTCTACTGCCATAGGATCAGAAATATACAGAGAGAAGATGCATGAGTTTCGTAGAAGCAACCATCTGGTCATGTTTAGGTCAACTCGCCTCAATCGACTTAACCACCCTGTCTCCTGTTGGTTTGTTTCGCGAGTGATATTCTTTTTCCAACATGTCTATGATGGGTCGACCTACTTTTTGGCTTTCGTTGAAACCATGAAAAATCATGGTGTTGCTTCTCACGACAGGTCTGTCCCTTTTGTTCGTATGAATGAGTCTGTCGAACAACAAATTGCAAGAAGGGTGCCGAGAGTGATTGATCCTAAGTATGCTGTCATTTCTATTGACGATGTTGAGATGCAAGTGGGATTGGTGAAATCTTTGGATAACGACTTGCACTTTAGCGTCATTGCAAACTACCATCCGTTTGAACAAGATATGTCGATCGATGCTGGCGATATTCGCAACCTTTAACGAGGATTGAAATCGCAACATACAAATTTTTTTTTTTTTTGCTTTCGCGTAAAACTATCCACTTGAGGCTACGAAATAAAAAATAATACATTTGTCAATGCAATACATAGCTACATTCATTAATCATACTTGTATACCTCTTGCAACTTTGTTATCCATGAAGGCATGCGCAAAATAATTATAAAAAAAAAAAATAAAAGAAAAGGATCCGCATCACTGACCACCAAAGCATTTTGAGAAAATGCATAATTAACCCAGCAAGGTTAACGTCCAACGAAGAAAAAAACGAGTTTGTTCGGATTCGAACTGGCGACCTTCAGTTTGTTAGTCAGGAATATTACCACTTTGACATAGCGACTCAAAGTAACCAGAAACTCGGGTCACGTGATTTTTACCCTGCTTTGTTTCAAATCGAACAAGTTTGGAGGCTTCTAACTTCGTAGATAATGATGCTACGAATTGGCGTTCAATACGGAAAATAAACAAGAGAACCCAAAAAGTCTGACCACACCATTTAAAAGCGCATATCTGATAACTATTTTCACAGTGTAAAGTCAAATGTTCTGATATGGGAACATCGAGGTGCTCATGAGAACATCGATGTTCCCAAAAGAGCGCATCGATGTTCTGTGAGAACATCAGTTGGGCCGTAGTGTTGTAAACCGGAAAGGTTCTATTGAGCTTTTTCTCCCGTATCTCTAAGATGATTTCTACCACTTTTAGCATCAAAGAGGTGGTTCCTACTGCTTTTAGCACTGGATACGCTGCTAATGTCTACTTTGAAGCGGTATTTTAAATACAAAGGACTTTCAAGATCCAATGCAAATATGATTCTGACAAATTTCAGTTTTCCCGTTTCCTTCTTAGTTTATGCGGTATTCTTCAATGGATGTTTACTTGGTCTCTCTTAGTTTTGATAGAATAGTGATAGATCTGCCGTCCAATTTTACACATAGGAAGGTGTTGCGAAAAGCACCGAGAAAACTTTAGATATTGATATTGTGCTCAATTTCCTGCCTAAACGTGTAGAACAAAAAGCTACATAAGAACTAAACACTTTGATAAATCCAAAAAAAAACTATACTGAACACCGCATGTGCAACAATCAATTTTCAATTGCGAGATAAAGTGTTTAGAGGCCATTCTCTTTAGATTTATTCTGGAAACGTATATAACAAAATAGATGTATAAGAAGAGGAAACATTGGGCAATCGTATAATTATCCTTGAGCACCCAGTGGCCCTTTAGGAATTCATAAATTGACATTTACTCGAAAAATACGCCTGATTTGTTTCTTTTTACATATGTTTATAGATAGATTTTGAAACCTTCGTTAGGTTATAACAAAACATACGTGCTACAATCTTTATTTCAAAATTTTATATACTCGAAAGATGTGTTGTTGTGTAATATATTTTGTCCTTAGTTCCTCAAATGGTCAAGCACTTAATGTAAATCCATTTTTTGTGATACCACTGATAATTCTTCGTTGGTTAAAAAATCCAACACACCTTCAAAACCCCAATTTTGGTGCAAATGATCTAAGTCTTGGTGCTTTTACTCTAAACTTGGTGTATTTGCACAAAGGTTTTCGCCGTAGTGACTGATTGTTTCTATGCATCTAGAGATCTGGTTTAGAAACGATACATCAATAGCAGTGTGAGGTGAATTATATTATTCTGAAACTTTACTTTTTGCTTTTACTTTGAGCGTTCAAAATTTTATGTTTTTCAATAGTCTTGTGCTTAAAAATGGAATAATTCCGCACTTTTTGTTATAGATTGATGTAACTCGTCAAGCACTACCATATTCAACATTTTACAACACTACTCTATTTGTAAAACATATTTTTATCAAGGTAAAACAGCAGTTTTCGGACGCCAATTTTTCTATAAAGGTATTTAATGTCAGCTTTTTAAAGCTCCGACTAATTTGGTTTGGTGGAGTCCTTGATTTTGGAAGAGTATTGTGCCTCAAATTAGGTATAAAAATGGCTTTTTTAATCATGAAGTTTTTCTTCGAGATGCAAAAAAATAATTACTAAAAAGAAGCAAGTTGAAAAATGCAAGATTGAGGTAGCAGTAAGCTGTTAAAAATAAGCATTTTTTTCCACCGATTCGCTCATATCCCCATTAATTCTACTTATTGAACGCTGATAACAACATTTGCACGGTAATTGTCTGCAGTAACTCTTTCTAATTACGATGTCAGTTTGACTGATAATCGACTAATGGTTTAGATTAAACTCTAAAAGCAAAATGTGATTGTCGGTTTACATAAATTCGTAAAGGAAAAGCAACCATCATAAAATATAGTAACTGGAATCAACGAGGGGTTTCAACACCAAAGATCCCGAAATCTTAAATAAATATAAATCAACGTACAGCATAGCAATCATAAATTATAAAAGCATAACGTTCATGCAAGTCATTAAATGGAGTGATCTCGAGTATATCAGTATATTGCAGGTACGAAGATAGAGCGTTATCACAAATGGTAAGAGAGATCAGCAGTAATTATCATCATAAAAAAACCAGCTTATGTTTGTTGTGATATAATAGAGAAAACTGATAAGGGATAAGCGATGTTCTGAGTTGTCTTGGTGAGGCTAGTTTTTTCTATTGAACTATCCTAGTATGAACTATATAACTATAGAAATAAATTCGTCGATTCATCAAGGGACAGTTAAATTTCAATAATAAGCCTAGGAACCATTTAATCAATCAAGGAACTCATTGTTTGCTACTTTTTTGTTCTACAAGTATTCATTATTATTCATCATCAAGGAAAGTTGCCACTGTTACATCTTATTACAAAAACTCTATAATAAAACACTACCATTCACATCACAGTACCTTTAAATATCACTACTTGCAACGCTGCACCCTATTTGTAATAACGTCTGTTTATCAACAAGTCCAGATGGTTGAGTCTTATCTCGTGAACAAGCACAATAAGGAATCTCCCAATTTAATCATGCTTATTAAAACGAGTGAATAGATAATCTAGGAAGATTTTCAACGACACCGGAAGCGATTGTTAAGAAAATAGAATAAAATAAAAGTGCATTCAAACGAGAATAGTGCTAAAACTGATATTGCCCGTTCCATTATCAACTCAAACTACAAAGTAATTTTCCGAGAAAGGACCTTGCATGTATTTTAATTAACCCATAGTTATAAGGGAAAGTTTATTTGATACCTAAAATCTTCACAACATGTTAGATTTATAGTATAGCTATTGAATGGGGTTTACTTTGTGTAGATCCGATCAGTATTTGTCGAGATACGGCCAAAAAAGGGGATCGTGCAAAATCACCATAATACTGTAGAATCATTCTATAGCATCAATGACATTAGATTCTGAAAACCAGAACATATGCAAGAAATTGGATTCAATCCAATAGACAAATCGCTGCTTTGGATATAAACGAGAATTTTGCATGCACCCTACGCCAAACTACGAGCGAAAGTAGTTGGGTATACTACAATTGCCTCGGCATCCTGTTGATTTGCATTGCTTCAACATAGCCTTCTAGCAGCAAATCGTCACGCAAAGGAAACTGAAAGTCTGTTTATAGATGCTCGTCGATCTGATCACGCTTTTAGCAATCAAAATAGACGTGCTACTAAGGTCTCGCCGCAATTGCTCTGATATCGACAATGATCAAATGTTGTATATTTTGGAGCTTCAGGTTTACTTGGAAGCCTTCAAGGAGGTTAGAAGCAAGCATAAATATATATATATATATATATATATATATATATATAAAAATAAAAATAAAAATAAAATAAAAAAACGTCAACGGCTGTCAAAATTTTAATACTGTCAAACATCCGGATTTCATTCGTAATGCGAGCAAATCATCGTTTGATACTACGCTAGAGTCTATCAAACTTCCTACAACTGTCAAGAGCATTCTGTTTTCGCTGAAGAGAACCTACTCAAGACATGATTTGACCGAAGGCGTCAACAAAAATACCATCGTCAAGTATTACTTGGTGCTTGTGCTATACTCTTTTTTCACAAATGGTGATTACTTGAACACATAGGCTGCTGATAAGGAAATCAAGGAGAGCTCCAACAGGTTCATGGCAAATGACCCTTCTTTGCAAAAATGAGCGAAAGAAGGCGGATTACACAATGGTTCACAATGCTACTAGCTATCCTCTGTTAATTTTGGAAGCAAAATTATGCCAAAACCAAACGTCTGATGATCTCGCCAATACCGGCAAGTACCTAAAGGATATCCTGGACGCAGATGAAGCTAAGGAATATTAATGATTTCGACTTTAATGGCTTGCCTCACGTGGCGAGCGCATTATGTATATGATGGAGCACAGCGTTGATTATATCTATATCATGTTCAAGCTACGAGACACTATGCATATCCCGGTAAAATATACAGACACTCATCGCGCTGCATCTGTTTTTGAGTTCCTGCCAATTTGAAACACCATGAGGATTCCACTGTTGATGTGATGGATCAGGCAAAGACGCTTCCCCTATTACCAAGAATCAAAACTCATTACACTCCTGTAACCGTGCTAGATCAAAGATTCAAAAGATTGTCAAACACGAACTCGGCCGAATCCAAGTCGGCCAGACGACAGCTGTTTCAAGTTCTCGTCATATAGTCATTGCTAGCACTGTTGCCACCTATCAGCATTACTACTGTTTATATACCAAGTTTTCATCTCCAAATAAAATATCAATAGCTTCTATACGTCCATTCTTGCAATATTATTTCTTAGTATTCTGTTAGCTCTTTGATGACCTCATTTGTATATTCCATTCTTGATATCATGCGTAATTCAACTCTATCTCTATAATTCAAATTGGGTCAAGCCAAAAGGTAATATTAAACAAGGTTTCCTGTTGCGCCACATAGACTATGACAGTATTAAGGAACATGAAATCATCATGACCAAGTGCAGTGTAACATGACATTTTCAAATGTTCCATTACATCATGCATTGTACCTTGGTAGATCAGAAAAAAAAAAGTATATAAATGTCGGCCTACTTTACTATTTTCAACAGCATCTTCAATAAACTACAACATTCAAATAATATAAAATGACTATTCCCTCTAAAACTGACGCCAAGACTGATCAATTTGTTGGTACTGTCAAGGAAAACGTAGGCTCTGTCGTTGGTAATGAACGTCTTCGTGGTGAAGGCAAGGCTCAGCATGGTCAAGGCCAAGTCGAGGAGCAAGCTGCTACTACATTGGGCTATGTCCAAGGTCTTACAAGCCAAGTTACCGGCGCTGTTCAAGGTGCTGTCAATTCTCTTGTTGGGAACAATTCTGGTGAAGCCTCTGCCAAGGTTGAGCAAAAGAAGGGTGAAGCTCAAAAGGAACTTAATGCTTAAATATACCATTCTTTTTCATCATGAATAAAGCCTATTATACTCTCTACATTTAAGCATATTTAGACTATACATGTTTGGTCATCATTGTATTGAGAGGAAGGAAACTCCCCAAACACATCTTACGGCATCTTTTTTAACCCAAACTCATGAATCCAACATGTGAAGGATGTGCACAACAGAAACACGGTGTTTGAATAGTAACCGGATGTTAAACCCAATGTTGTGTGTATATTGCTGCAAATCTTGCCGTTTGTCTCTGCACCTTTCTTCTTTTCTTTACTCAACATGTACAAACATTTGAAACTGTAAGCTCCACACCCATATCACGAATGGACATGCCAAGCTGATATAGTCACAACATAGATATATCACAAAGAAGGCCTATGTGCTTGCACCCGAAACAGGCTCCAATCTAACAGTGCATCGCGATACAGGTGCCCTCGAATTGACCGGTAAGCTGTTTGGTTATCATAAAGATAAATACCATTGCTCATTCATAGTATATATTCAGAGACCATTCCCTCTGCTAGCGAGCAAGAAAGCACATTGAACGTCTATGGTCTCTTGGGTTTCATCCAGCTTTTTGCAGGTAACATAGTTCACCACCAATCGCTTGGTTTGAAAGCGTTCGTCATGCTGATATTGTTACTAGGTGATTACATGATGACCATCACTAAACGCGAGCAAATTGGTACAATTCAAGGAAAGGCTATTTATCGCGTTAGTGGATTCCAAATCTTGCCATTGGCACAAGACACGAACCGATTGACTGAGGATCAGGTAAGTTTCTTTTTGTAATCAGGGGCTGAATCCATACCGATTCTTTCTTTGCGCAGAAATCCCAAGAGCAAACTTTTGTCAACTTGCTCGAATCCCATCTCAAAAACAACACATTCTATTTTTCATATGATTATGATTTGACGCAATCCATTCAAAGACAAGCTCAGTTCAGCAGCGAAAAGTTGGCCGAGCCATTGTACAAGAGAGCAGATGAGCGTTTCTTTTGGAATCGATTTGTTGCTACGAAGCTGATTGACGCTAAATTTGATGTAAGTAATATAGGGATTAGTGTGTGTCTGTATGTGGGTACGCAGAGGATATTGATATGGTGTCGGAAATAGACAACAAACTTTATTTTGCCAGTAATGCAAGGATGTAAGTGAATTAGACACAATGAAAACACATACTATGGGAATGATTAAACAAGGCATGCAGTTGTAGAGTTGAATCAGTGCAAGATCAATGACAAGACTTTTGCGTGGGGTTTGATTACTCGTAGAAGCAGACACCGTCCAGGCACTCGCTACTTTTCACGTGGTATAGACGCAAAGGGCCATGTCTCCAATTTTGTTGAAACTGAACAGATTGTCTTGTACGACGGGGCATCCACTAATCAGCAAGTTGTGGGGGAGGTAGAGCTCTCGTTTGTTCAGACTCGCGGTTCAATTCCTGTTTACTGGGCTCAAGTGATCAACCTCAAGTACACACCTCGTCTTTGGATTGGAGAGACCAGAAAGAGTGTAAGTGTGTAGCATGTGTGAGCCAGGCTGATTCTCATTCGTGTGTATCCTTAGTTGGCTGCTGCTCGTGCTCATTTCGATGAGCAAATTCGCATCTATGGCCCTCAAATCTTGGTCAATCTCATCAACAAAAAGGGTTATGAGCTTCCTATGGGACAAGCTTATGCTCGCACGGTAGAGCAATTGAATGATCCTCGTATCTACTATACGCATTTTGATTTCCACTCTGAATGTAGTAAGATGCGCTGGCATCGCATCCAGCTCTTGGTAGATCAATTAAAGGACAAGTTGAATGAGCAAGGATACACCTATTACGATACTGCTCAAAAGAACCTCAAAAAGACACAGACATCTGTTGTTCGCTCCAACTGCATGGATTGCTTGGATCGCACCAATGTCGTTCAGAGCACGCTTGCCAGACACGTTTTGACTCAGCAACTCAAGGAACTCGGCATTTTGGAAGCAAATCAAAAAGTAGAGGATCAACAAGAGTTTATGAATAGCTATAGAAATGGTAAGTCCTAGACTTGCTCTTCTATAAACCACTAGGCTCACAGTTTATGACAGTCTGGGCTGATAATGCTGATGGCGTCAGTTGTGTTTATTCGGGCACAGGCGCTCTCAAGACAGATTTCACTCGCACTGGCAACCGCACTAAGGCTGGCGCTCTCAAAGATCTCCAAAACTCCATTACGCGTTATGTTAAAAACAATTTTTTGGATGGCTCTCGTCAAGATTCATTTGATCTGTTCCTTGGAAAATACCATTTGGTGCAAGATGCTCATAGCCCATTTGTCAGTAACAAGCCTCTCCGTGTCCGTGTTGTACCCTACATCCTGTTGTTTGCTCTCTTTATGCTTTTGTTGAATCTCATTCGTCCCAATTACTCGGGATTCAAGTCCTATACTTCCTACTTTTTGTTGCTCCTATTCTGGGTCTCTGTGTTGATTTCAGGTGTTCGCTTTGCTATCCAGCATGGAGATGAGTTTGTTCAATGGCCTCATCTTGTTAAATTGCCTCCTACAGATGATATTTCTGAGGCTGGTTTTACAGAAAATGGCAACATGTCTCCACCCGAGATTACAAAGGAAGAGTTGCCTGTTCTTTAATCATACTACTATTACTTCTTTGATACAAGTTTTTCTTTCTTTTTTCGTTTCATCATACAATAAACATGTCCTTTTTTTTAACCTAATTTCGGTTGATTTACTCACGCTCACACACCTGCAATTGTAGAAAACCTTGGAACAAACGAGTTTCTGTCGTTCAAGACTAAAAAGCTATATAAATTAGCATTTTTTCCTAGGTCAGATAATAGGATCCTTCAGCATCAACATGTCTTTTTCTAATCCCACGTCTGACGCTACCATCTCCAAGAAGCTCAAATACATTGTGATTACGCATGGTGATTCCTATATCGGCCAGACATTAGCTATGCATATCGCTGATCAGCTGGATAAAGGCCAAGGTCAACTCAAGACGAAGCATCGTGCCGTCCGAGTTTTATGTCAAGACAAAGCCAAGTTGAAACATCTCGAGAGAAGAGGCATTGAAGTCAAGGTAACATCAAGCTTGTCATAAAAAAGAGGCTATCTTGATCTAACATGTAATTTAAGCAAGTCAATTACGAAAGCCAACATACTATCACTGAACAGCTCAAAGTGCATATCAAGACCATGATCTATAATCCTTTTGCTGTAACGATGGGCCGTATGGTTGAGTGTGGCATGAATGTCCTTGATGCAGCTATTCGCCAAGATGTCAAGCGTGTTGTTATGTTATCCAGGTAACCAGCCAACAGACTTTCTTTCTGTTTCTCTTTATATATTGGCACTGACTCTACGCAACAGCTTCGGTGTAAATACCATGGAGGCATCCTCTGCTGTGGATGCGCCTATTCTTCTATTCAAAATGTTGGAAGCTCATTTGCGCCATCGCTACAAATACGGTTCCTGGGTGGTCTATCGCATTCCATTTATTCAGCAATACATGTACTTTTGGATCCACATGCTCGAGAACAAGAACATATTGGGCATGCCCATCTCTGAAGGCGACATGCTCATGACAGTCAATATCAAGGATGTCCATGAATGCGTTGCTATGGCCTCTCTTTCCAAGAAATCCATGGTCTGGACCTACCATGAACCTGAGCGTCATTTGCAGGCCTCTACTATCCTTCCAGGCGGTCCTGATGGAGACACCTCAAGCAGCTCTGATGATAGCAGCAGCCAGCAACCAATGGCCATCAAGCGTGTTTACGAATTGGTCAGTGAGCCTCTCACGCTGACTATGATGGCAGATGCCATGTCGCGCGCGCTTCGTGAAGCTGGTGGTAGTTACAATGTTGATGCTGCTGTATTGACGGATGAGCAACTGGAGATTTATTTGAAACTTGTTGCCAAGACCAAGCAAAGGGATGCAGCTTCTATGGATGCCACTGAGTGGGGCCGTATTTTGGATGCTGCCAAGATCCGCCAGTCATCTAGCTACCAACAAGGTGTTTCCGAGCTGCTTCAAAGCAGATCTTCTCTTGCCAGCACCACCAAGCACCGAGACCACCAGGATAGCCCCGATGTGTACCCTTGCCCTGCAGATACATTGACTCCCTTCTGTATCCAACTCATCTTGAATCATTTCAAAGTGGCTCGTAACATGGTGATGCCACCCTTGGTTCTCAATAATGACATTCGTGATATCATAGGTCGTTCTCCTATTTCCATGGATGTCTTTTTCATGTTGAATCGAAAGCTGTTTCATCCTCAATAATCTACATTCTCTGTGTGCTTGTTATATTTTTGTTTATTTCAAATAAAGTTACGGGTGCTTCATTCTTAACTTTGACCATCTCCTTGTTTAGACATTTGAGGCTCTGCTAGGAAGACGTCGTTGGCCATCGTACCATGCGTCATAGCACATAAAGCATGCAGTGCCTCTCCATTGGATGCCATGTTGACAGTGCCATAACCTGCCATTGGGCCTGTATACATGGCTAAACTAGCTGTACCAAATGTGTTTGTATCCCATGCTTGGACACGAATGCGACTATTGGGACCTAGACAGTTATTGACAAGCGCAGTCAATGGTGCCAGGTTGTGTGTACCAATGGTTGCTAATCGTCCACCCAAGGATTGACAATGTTCAAATGCTTGATCTCCAGTAATAGTGCTGAGTGTAATAAAATAGCCTAAACTTGGATCATTGCACGTGTCTCTTTTACGAATGGATCTCGCTTGCACAACAGCTACTGTGGCGCTACAGAGTGGTAATAAAACGGCTAGAAATTTCATGTTGAAATGTTTGTAATAAAGAGCCATGTGAATCCAAGTATTTGATTTCTTATATACAGTAAATTCAATTCTGGACCATGCTGACATTCTCTGACAACGAGAGCCAAAAACTAGAGTCTTTTTATTTCAAGCCATTCACCACTCAAGATATCCAGTGTTTGTACATAATACTGTGCTAATCCAATTAATGCTTGCTCCTCCTTTTGAATGAGTGCTATGCTCTTTTTAGGCTTGTTGCTCTTGAGCCAGTTGTCCTCGAGTTCCTGCTGCTTCAAGATGGATTGGAATGACTTTTTCTGAAACGCCTGGTCCTCCTTTGAAGTGCTGTTGAATCGACGTATCGGTGTTAATTTAAACGACGCACCCAGGCTGTCTACAGGATTGTATAATGGTCTAGTTTCTTTGACGCTGGGTGTAGGTGGTTGGTCTATATGCTCTAGCAGAGACTCGGGGATGTATCTATTAAAGAGTGGTCAACACAAGATGAATAAGTGAAAATACAGTGAACTTACATTTTCTTTCCCTTTCTGTCACTGGATGATGGTGCTGCACTGCTCGTTGATTCTTTGAGAGGAACATCTGCCACTTCAGCCATGATTTTGGACATGGGCTTGACTGATACAGCTGGTACTTTGCCCCACACTGGCTTGGTCGATGAAGATGGGGTGTCATTTACTTCTTGCTGCTGTGCCAGACGTCTTCTTTCCTTTTGTGAAATCTTTTTAGGGATGGCAGACTACATAATAGACATCCACGTTAGACGTATTCTCTGAGTAACACATACAACATACCTTTTGACTCTTCATAGACGCAAGATTGGGCTGATTCTCGGTCTCAATGATCTCTCGTAAGGATGGCTTGCTGTGCGATCTATACCATATCCTCAATAACATGTATCTTGTTTGCATATGTCAAGTACTTACTCTGATGCAGCAGCAGCACTTGCAACGGAAGCAGTGTTTGTAGCCCATCCTGCTGAAGATTGACGTCTTTGCGAGGACGCAGCTTCCATCATGTTTAATTCGTTTTCAAGGTCATTCAACTGTACTTTGGTGCCTCTCTTGACTCTGCTAGCAGCTGCCGTTGTAGATGGTTGTTTCAACTGGAGTTCGTTGGTGTCTATTATTGTTTTGAGAGCAGACTTTTCCTTAGCTATGGATGGCTTCTCGGGATAATAGGTATAAAAGACCTCATCAAATGTCACCACACTTCCATCACCCCTTGAGAGAGCATGCAATGAGCTTGAAAATTCAATATCGTCCTCTTCTGTATCTGCATCAACATGCTGCTCTGGTAATCCTCTCACCACAGTAGGCGCTTGATTGATTTGAGCTTGACGCACGTAGGCTTCTAAATCTCGAAGCAATGTATCGGCAACTGCATCCAACATATGGGAAGCAAAAAACACGGGTAGATTCACGCTGATAAACTCCAAACAGGATTTTTTAAGTTGATCTGCCAAGCAAGCATCTGCGTATTCCAATACAGTGGTGGCTGATTTCAGCTTGATGAAGGGAACCAGCACCTGCTCTGTAATGGATTTGAGTCTGCCCAATAGCAAGAAATCGGCTTCACAGAGAAAATCCAGTAGAAACTGGACCATGGACTCCTCCTTGTCCTGTTGAATGGAGTTGAACAGTATTGTCTTGTCTTGATCCACATAGATGTACTGAATGATGGTATCCATCATAGCTTTGGGAATGTGATTGAGATTCACCTGAATGCACCTGTCCTCTGTCTCGGTTGACCTCTTTTGTATCCACACAGATCCAGGCTGAAGCAGGTTTTTGAAGTAGGGACATCGTTGTCGTAATATCACTTGATGGTATGTTGAATGCGGGTGGTTTTTAGTTACAATAGCCACATCTGTGCCTTTTGCCTTTTCCAACATTAATTTCAAATGTTGCGTTAATGTAGGTACCGGCGCATGACTGAAGGATTGCTGTGCTGATGACAGCAGCTTTGGTAATTGAAAGACATTGGCCAATGTCACTAGATCCCGTTGGATTTGATGAGCGGATGCCTGGATAGCCTTCTTGTCAGTGAAGGAATCCAAGTCCTTGAAGCAGAGATCGGGTACCTGGAAAAACGCCTTCATGGGATGCTGATAGGTATCTGTGTAAATGTAGTCCAGCAAGAGTAGTATAGACGCTAATTGGCACTGATAGATGTAAATGACAACTCTGCCGTCGCTGGCTCGCTTCTCCAGTTTGATGGTCATGCCGTTCATGATGGATGGTGAGCGACGATCAGCGCATTTGACCAGCTGACTGAACATGTTGCTTCGGCACCGCACAATGGTACTATGACAGTAGACATGCCTTTTATCAACACAAAACAAGACATCCAGCGAATTATCTTGCAAGCTCAGTTGATCGATGCGATGCCATGCTTGGTCCACGGCTGAGATAATGAGTTGACTGTATTTGAGACGTGTGGCCTGTTGCTGCTTCAACACGAGATCTTGATCCACATCTGCGCCTACTTTGTACTTTTGCACTTGGTGATCGCACTCGGTAGTCATGGCTTGCATCAGGCTGCAGAGTTGCGTATGGAATTCCTTGGCTATCTCCAACTGTGGCAATGAACTCGACAGATCGTATTCCAGTGTAGAGGCCGCAATGTGGGTGATGGGCGGCAGCGCGTATTCGGATCGAATAGCAGCAAATGCGCCGCTGGCATTGGCACACACTCTGATACAACGCTGTAAATGAGATATTTGGCTAAACCTGTCGACATGACCGCCCCGGAATACATGGCCAGACACTGTACATACTAGCATCTCTCCGTGCTGTCCAATGCTTGCATCTATGGCTGCTAAATGAGGTTTGTTGAGATGCGTCCAGATGCGTTTTGGAGCGGACACTACAGTTGGCTGCATCTGCTTGGTGTTCCTACTATTGGCGGCATCCACGGACTGTCTTGAGTGAGAGGATCGACAGGTCCACGTAAAGACTTCGCCTGTATTTGATACAGCGCCTAAATATTCTGTACCACTTGCTACTAACTTTACCATGAACGTGGGCTCTGAGCGATGCACGGTCATGTTGCTAGGGAATCGATTGACTGGGAAACTAAACAGCACCAACAGGGTCAGTAGAGTCTCCATCTCCTTGATGCATTCCAAACTTACAATAGCTTTTGCTGCGTATAATTCAAGAGTAGAATCACTTGAAAAGATGTGTTCAGGATGGCTGTACAATGATCCTATTGTGCGAATGACGTTAAAAATAGAAACAATGATACACATTCGCTCTACTTGCATTGGCCACCACTTGCACAATCTCTGTCGACATGCTCACTTTGCGAGGCGACACTTGGCAAGTCTCGTTGTCAGGCTGGTGATAGCCAAGCTGGCCTTGATTCAGCCCAAAGGTAAAAATGTCGGTCGTCGTATAGACAACCGAGTGCACTCTGGAAGCAGCAGCACCGAGAATCGGCTGCTTCTTCAAGCTCTGTGCTTGAATCTTGCGTGGTACAAGTTGCATTGGATCCTTGTTGCTGTTGCTATGATTATCCGTTTCATACCCTATTCGTAGACCAATCATCAGTTCATCCGTCCGCACATATAAGTATACACACTATAAATACCCAATTGCCCATAACTGTTATTTCCAAAAGAAATGACATTGCCATTTTCTGTGACAGCCAGCGTATGGTCTCGCCCTAGTGCGACAGATGTGATCCTCTCTGACCATGGCACTGGAATAGGAGTAAACTGCGTATCCGTCTCTTTACCCGTGCCTAATCGACCTCCACTGCCAAATCCACACAGCAGCAGATTGTGGCTGTTCTCTGTCGTCAAGATGCCCATATGATACTTTGACATGACGACTGTCTCGATCAGATAATCGGGTCTCTGCATGATGAAGGCTGATTTCTGTGATTCCAGTTGTAATCTAACACGCTCCGGTTTTGTTCTATTTTCAGTGTCTGGATGTCCTAAAACATAGTTTGTATTGTGTCCCCAAGTGTACAGATCTGTTCCGCCTCGTCGTCCACTGGCCAGAGCAGCATCTGCTGTTGTGTGATGGTGAGCCTCGTTCTCTACATTGTCCATCATGTCATCATATTGCCGTAATCGGTCATGTTTCGACAGTATTCTCTCTTTTGGGAACGTGTTTGCTATGGTGAGATTGTACAGCTCAAATGCATCTAGTCCCTCCCAATCCTTGATGTGAAGATCAATGTCCTGACGTTTCAATAACAGACGGGCAATCTCGAGGTTTCCCAAATACAGACATCTACATACAATGATGGTCAGCGAACGATGCCCTCTTTTGTACCGTAGTATGCCTTTTCAATCCGAATGAACCCTGATATTACCTGTGCAATGCTGTCCATCCGTTCTCTCGATCACGCATATTGACATCTACTTGAGCACAGTTGATCAAGCTGGACGCCATCTCTACCCTGTTCCAAGTGACAGCATAGTGTAATGCAGTCTTGCCTCTGGATGAACGTTTATTCAAGTCGAATTGCTTCTGACCCGAGCTTTTGAGTTGTTGTTGTATCCATTGACTCTGCTGTTTTGATACTGCTTGGGTTGATGATGATGACGACTCATTTGTTGCAAGTTCAATAAAGTAGTTTAATAGTTGGGTATCATTATCTCGAATCGCCTTGAAAATCGAAACCATGAAATAGCTGCTAAAGATACAAGAAAAAACAAAAAAGGCTGCGGAAGCTACACGATTTAAAAAATTGGAATGGTTCTCATCATATCAATCATTTCGTTTGTTCATGGCCAATCAATAGCAGCATGGCCCTGTCGGCCATATAAAAAAAGCTGGTATATCAAATGCTCATGGCATCTTGCACTCGTTGGCATATATATATATAATCATGATCCATTGATGTCGCCTATGGTGAATTACGAGTAATGTGTCATGATGATGCATTCCCCAAGGCCATAGCCTAGTGCACAATGGACTGTACATCCAAGACTACTGCGGCAAAACTCATCTAGATATCGTTCATCTGTGGCATCAACATGTCTCGAGAAAAGAAAGCAATTCGGTCAACTGGAACTATGTAAACTTTAATATGTTTGCTTTGTCACGTGGAATTCGATTTGATAGTGCATTCGTCAATCCCTGAATGTTCGAAATATAACCACTGCATGAAAAAGAAAGAAAGAAGCATTTGATTGAATTCAACGTCATGTTGATTGAAATCGTCATGTCGATTTTAGATTGTCATTTTAGATTACAAAATTTTTCATAGATGATATTTCAATGATGAAACAGGATTGCCGTTCTTTTAGTAAAGAAAAAAAAAAGACATTGTTCACACAAAAAGGATGAACACCACTTTACAAAGAGGTTTAGAAATAGAAAGATCGGTCGAGACCGTTGGTGCAACATGAGGAAATCGACCTTTTGATTTGAGGTGTTTTTCATACCAAATTCTGGATCAAACTCCTTTTCAAAAAAAAAAAAAAAAAAAAGCATATATAAAAGGCCACTGCAAACGGATGAAAAAATAATAGATCTACAAATCACTTTTATTATATAAATCATTATGCCTGTTGCTATTTCTGAAAAGCACATTGTGCGAAAACTCACAGTCAACTTGGATCAAAATCAAATCAATGTACGACCCATCATCAAAGGTAAATTGCAATCTCATTTTGATATTAAATAGTGTTGGACGCTAACTTTAATTTTAAAATGAATCATGATAGGTGCCATAAACGAAGCATCCCATACTTTGACAGACGCCTTTGTATCCAACAAATCTCTCGAATGGTCTGCTCGCAACTTGGATCAGATGAAAAGAGACGATTTCCTCAAAAACCTCTTCAAAGACATGGTCAATGCTGCCTCTCTACAGAGCCGAGATTTTGCAGTGCAAGTAGATGGCTGTAAGGGTGTCTTGATCTGGTCAAACAGATCCCAACCCTTCTCTTGGCCGCAAACCATCAACACATTCAAATACGCTCGCCTACTAGGCTGGAGAGCTGCCCTCAAGACCCTCCTCAAGCTCCAGAACGCTGCATCTGCTGATAAAGTGCGTCGTAAAGTCATGGCACATCACCCCAAGCACATCATTATTGGATTTATCGGCATCTTGCCACAAGAGCAAAACAAGGGACTCGGCACCGCTTTGGTGGAATACGTCTTGGACAAGGCAGATGAATCGCATTATCCCGTGTATGTGGAGGCTACCGATTATCAAACTGTCAAGTTCTTTGAACGATTTGGCTTTGTATCTCAAGGTCAAATTGTACTTAGCAAAGATCAAATGTCTACTTTGACTCCCATGGTGCGATTACCAGTTGCCCTGGACGAGCCTAAATCATTGCAAGTTCGTCCTGGCCGTAGAGATTCGGATAAATCCTGCTAATTTACAGTACATTCTTAATCTTGTCTTATATTACCTCTTATCATATACCATGTACTTAATATACGCTTAATAAACTTTCTCACTCTCTCTCTCTCACACTTGCTAATACAATCAATAGATACCTGTTATGATTGGTTTCGTCAAAACTTGAGGTTGTGCAACAGAAAAAGCTTAAGTTTGTTTTTAGATTCTGCCTTGTTTGTGTTTGTGTGTGTAAATACTACAATAACATTTACGCGGAGTACATCATCCATCGAGAAGAATAGACAACGATTTTCCTTTGGAAGCTCTTTATCGACTCGCTTCAAGAATTGATGTTATGGTTTATAGGCTAAAATCATGCCTGAGAGCCACTAGCCAATAAGCATTGGCTAGTTTCAATGCAATCATCAAGCTAAACAAAAAGTAATTGCACATGCAGGCACATCCTTTGCAATCCATGCTTTTGTAGCACAAGAGAAAACTTTTTCGTCTTTCTCCAAACAACAAAAAGGGGAGGACAAATGTGCTCGAACAGCAGATCAAAATGCCATTACATGCTCATGTGTTTTTTGGATGCATTCAATTTCCCACAACACAAGATTGTCCTACATGTCAATCCCATCAGAACGTGGCTTGCATACCATGTCTCTTTCGGTCCAGACTATATTTGAGAGAGGCCCATGAGAAATGTTTTCCCTCCTCTCGTTCATTTTAAAATTCAAGTTTTTCCCTATTGTTCAAATGGCTAAATGATTTCCTATATGCTGTAGATGTATTTGTCGCACAAAATCTAGATTTCGTATCTTTGGTTGTTGTTGAGATCATCGGTGGAAAGCTACTAGCAACTTGCATCATAGATGCTGGTGAATGCCTTGGCATTGCATTATGTTGCTTTTGCTTACTACTGCTCCTACTACTAGTAGGCTGTGTAGATCTTGCATAAAAAGGGTGTGAAAATGTCGCCATCAGGGGTTGAATCTCCATCATGATGGAAATTATAATCAGAAGCGGATGGCGAATCCAAAGTAAACCAACAATGAACAGTTTTTGGAATACGCTAGACTGTATAAAGAAATTATTGGATTTGCACATCAAACAGTAAGCGTTCCACAAGAGATCCGAGATGTTGTGCATGTATGAGATTCATCAATCAGTTCTAATGGTCACTGGTGGATATGAACAGGCCTTCATTTAAACTGTTAGTTCCATGTGATAAAAACGGATAATACATCGCTTGGCAACGGCCTCTTTCGCTGAGGATTTCCACATGTGCTGCATTTGATGGATGAAATGCTTTATCAACATGGACTTTTGCCGAGATGTCGAACATAGCATCAATTCTGTTTACATCCGGAGCGCTCCACGACGGGACCATGGACCATACAGCTTTAGATAGTCGCTTAATTCTTGTGTGAACTAAAGCCATCGCCGATGCTTGACCCTGTAGTCCTATCAAGATTTACTGAGATGATGAATATATATTATGTGGAAACTCTCCATGAATGAAATGAAACTGTGAATCTGACTCTTCTACGATGCTCCACGTCTGCTTCAATGTAAACAAGCCCTATATAGGTAGACAGCACGTTTGCACTGCCTCTTACTATTCAAAATCATGCAAAAAGAACAAAATTTCAGTGCATTTGAGCCGCGTTTTCTTGTGCTTAAAGCCGTTTCAGAGTGCCAAAATAGTATCCAACCACTGCTTTCATCTAGCACTAACTTCCTGACACCCTTGCTCAACTTTTTGAGGACCAAAAAAACATGGCCAAAAATTGACCAAAAAGCATGAGGTATCCCTCATGGCTTTCATCGAAAATCAAACGATTGCATTTTTTACCTTGAAGATGATGACTTTTACTATGGTATGTATTACATCAAAATGTTGCTATCGATCCAAAGCAACCTCTGAAATCATCTTTGAGGGACTTTGATATGTAAAATTTCGACATTTTGGCCAGAAACCTCTTTTCATATTTTTACAAATCATTCAGTAAGTTTATTCAAAACATCTATATAACTTGGTACCATTGGATGCGCCTTGAAAAGTACTCCAGGAAAGCTTAAGGAAGCATGGGGTGATCATCATACTTCACTTAGTCGAATCTGCAAAAATAGTTTAGTCGAGTCCAAAATCATCAAAATTTGTCCAATCTAGAACAGACTGTAAGACTGGGTTTGAATTAATTTTGGCTGGTGGGGCCAGCTGGAAAACTTAATGCCCTTTTTATAAGGCAATACAGTAGTAAATGCCCTTGAAGCGTATGGAAAGTAGGTGGCATGTCATAGAACTATCGTTCATAATGATATTTTCTTGCGTTCTATATTTAATAACGTTAGTCTGGACATTGACGATGCATGGGCTGCGTAAAATGTCTGCAGTAAGTAGTATAATCTCTGAGGCTCCGAGCCATCGTTCAAAGAAAACGTTGGAAGCATTGAGCAGAGGAAAGAGGGTAGAAATAACAGTGGATTTTGTTGATTGATTGTATAATCATTAATCTCATATGAGCCAGACCTGACAGATGCCTTGAAACTCAGGTTCCATATTAGGGTTGTAAAGTGTCTAAGGAATGAGCGTTTATTATGTTATGATGATATTGAATCAAAATGTCTGTATCGATCTAACGTAACCCCTAAAATCATTTTTTTAAGAACCTGATATGTAAAGTCTCGACTTTTTGGCCAGAAACCCCTTTTCATATTTTCATAAATTGCTCGATAAGTTTATTCAAAACATTTACCTTACTAGTAGGTACCATTGAATGCGTCTTGAAAAGTACTCCAAGAAAGCTTATATAAGCATAAGACAATCGTTGCAATTGAGGCCATGTGCTCATTGATGGTGAAAGCAGAAAATGAGCACAGTGAATTTGTTTAGCCTTCGTTAGTAATTAAACAGTTGTTTATTGTGTTCTGGACGAATAATGGTGATTGGTCAGTGTTGATAGAGGTTTAACATCTTGACATATAGTTAGCACTATGGACTGCAAGTGTAAAAGCAGCTTGCTTTCTAGGTTGCATTTGATTTCAAGTATATCAATGTGAATAGCAATAAAATATATAGATTACCACCAGCAGCCTATAAAGCACGAGCTCTTTATAGATCATTTGTGGTATTTAGGAGTTATAGGACACAGAGTGGGTGTTTGCATATCAACCACTTGAAATTACATTCTACTTCAATCTCAAATACGTTATGGTTCGTTGTTGGTGGTATAGGCTTATGGTACGAGAACAACAGGTTTGAGGCTTAAGGCTCAACAAATTGTGGTTCGATATTTATTCTGGAGAATGAGATTTCTTCTTGCTTTTATCTTTTTTTCGAGAGTGATCATGATCTTTTTTTGCCTTTTTAAATATTTTCAATTTTTTCCAGCTGAAAGGTGCTGCTTTTGTTATTGATGTTGTTGATGCAGTTCTTTTTAAAGAAGATTTAGGAACGTCTTTGACCGGTTGTTCAGGTGAGGTAAGTGGTCTTGTAAATCTACGAGAGGATGTTTTTTCTGTTGTTTTAATTTTGGGTATAAATTCAGAACCTGGGATTCTAGAAAAAGAGTCTGTAAAGAACGATTTTGGTACTGAAAATGGATTGATGGACGAAGAACTGCCTTTGGCTATCTCCATATCTCGTTGGATCTGCTCCATGGTAGCTTCATCAAGCTGGTCTTCCAACGTAAATTGATCCTCTTCTTTTGGTGGTTCTATATTTGCTTGTGGGAGATCAGGGTCAAGTGGATCAGGGCCAAGTGGAAAATCAGGGTCAAATGGGGTTTCACTAGCGGTTTTTGCAAAAAAAAAAAAAAAATCAGTTTTCTTGTTGGGATCCATCAAGACGAGATAATAGCCTTCTTGGGGCCTTTGGTGAACGTAAATGGTTTTATTGTCAGTGTGAAGGTCGTAATGAGACTTTGAGGAATATAAATGTCACTGGGTAAGATATGAAGAGCTGTTATATCCATTCTTTGTCTTGACCCTATGACAGGTCCCAAGAAATCTTGATCAATTACAATATCTACTATTTCACCAGTTACAAAGACATGACATGGTTTCTTTGTATTTTGATAATTGTGTAAAGCTGACTCATAAAGATTTGGGAATGCGTGCATTGAACCAAAATGACCTATCTCGAATGTCATACAAGGGCGCATGGTAAACTTGGTTTTGAGGATCGTAGTAGGCCATTAGCATCCAACTCAATGGTCTTGGAGAAATCTCTTAATTCCTTGCAATTTGTGATCTCTTGAATAATGGCATTCCAATCTTGTTTGTTTGCGTTTTCCAAGGTTGCAATATTGAGATTGTATGCTAACAAGGCAGCTGTTTGGGGATTCAGCACTTCTGCAATTTCATTGACTCTGCGACATTTTGCCTTGTATTTGTTGTATGAAGATCCATATTTTTGTGGAATTCATTGGGGTTGCTGCATTTGTTGCCCATTTGAAATAGTTTGTGCATGTGAAGAAAGCCGCCAAATTCTGCCACTTCTGATGCCCATTTTGTTTGTTTGAATTGAAGAACCTTGGAGTGTGTTTCGCGACAACTTTGATAGATAGTATCAATACCGCTGTTTGGTTCGATCATATTCATGCGATAGGCAGTCAATACGTCATTGAAACGTTTGATTATTTGTTGATATAAGGCAATGTTAATGGGTTGTAACTGATGTATAACTCCTTTGCTGTCGTTGATGATACCGGCCAATTTGCCAGCTGCTTTCAATATTTTTTTTAGTGGCACGTACACCAAACAATGTTTTGATCTCCGGTAAAAAGTTGCTTAGAGAGTGTTTGGCATCAGCCTCTGTCTTGATATGTATACTGTCGCTGCTGTTTGAATTATTGGTGATAGAGCTAGCTTCGTTGTTATGGGTAGAGCTAGTTTGGGACATGTGGGTAAAGGTGAAAGAATGGGGATGTTCATTTTTAGGCATGATAAATTTGTTGGATAGCGATAGTTCAAATTCCAGTGTACCTGATCAAGTTACAAGACCAGAGCGGATCAGAGCAGCAGTTTTGAATATGGCTCTTTGGAGCTGATTGGGCTGTGGGATGAATTGTACAATGTCACCACAATGAGTTATTGAAAGATTGGCAGGTATTTAACAACCACATACACACGCTTTTGAAATGTGAACCAAAAGCCATAAGTGAGCATCGTCAAATAGCATGATTTATGAGTCTTTCCGGCATAGAAAACATTTACTTTCCTATCACGTGGAGAGGGGATAGACTGTTTTTGAATTTTTTTTATGCATATGAAACATGTCTTACAATAATCAACCTTTTTGCCCATTTAAAAATGGAATCAACATCAATCGACGGCATTGCTAGCTATTATCCTGCAATTGAATCAGCAATTGAGTCTGTTTCTGGTGGCAAACTGTCTTTAGCAGGTGTCATTGACAAATTACATATTGATATTGTAAATTTGTTTAACGGTGAATGCATTTCGAAGTATAAAAGAGACTGGGTGCGATCAGTGATGGCTTTTGCTAAAAATAAGGATATTGATATGGTAATGTGAACTGCATCTATAGAAACATAGTATCTGATTCTTTTTGTAAATAGCCTACCACACCCAAGCCAAATTGGGAGGACATTTATGGCACGGTTATTGATAGAATGCTGAATAAAGGCTATAATTTTCAAAAATTCCAGAAACCTATTGTAAGTAAGATAAAGAGTAGGATATCGCAAGCTAATTCTAATGAATACAGTCTTGCAAAATATCCCAAGCAAGCCAGTCATCAAGCAGTACTGCAACAGCCTGTACTGACTCAAGTAGCACTTCCACAAGTACGAACACTGAATCAGGCTCTGAATCTGCAGGAGTTGACCCACAACGTGTCAAATTACCCGCATTGACTGCTGCTGATAGGGCAAATATCTTGGAAAGATATAATGCTCTAGACCCAAAGAAGATGTGGAGATTATCTAATGGAACAGTTGTGGAGGAGAGAATGTGCAAATGCGCTATGGAACAGCAGCATGAACAGTAAGTCAACATATTGCGTTTTTAAATTTGTATTAACAGACTGAATTAGTATGGCTCACTCATTTATCCTGGATGCGAAAGATGAAGGATGGTTGAAATATTTTACACGTTCTGAACTGAATGAGATCTCGGCATATAAAGCAATCCAGTTGCCTGAAGCTCCAGAAGAAGTCGTAAATTATTTGAATACCTTGAAATCGGATACAGCAGAAGATTTAACTGACAAAGTTGAGCATCAAAAATTGCCCCTGAACTCAGATAGAAAATGGATTCAAGATTCGTATTCTCAGTGTATTCGTTTGATAAACTCTGGTTTCCTCCCAAGTGACAAGAACACGACGGAGGCTGGCTTGATAAAAAGGGTATGGAGTTGCATCGATGCTTGTTTCGATTATTCTAGTAAAATAAGATGCATAAGGTAAGTATGAATATACTAAGGTTAGCTAATTATCTAACAATAGTTTTCAAGTGGGGAAAAATGTAGCAAGTCGTCAGCTGATGCAAAGAATGCCACTCGTTGGGACATCAAATGTCGCTAGTTGCCAGGAAGAAAAATGGATTTTGTTTTCATTGACAAGAAAACTGAGCTGGAAATTGGGTGCGGCGAGGGTGCTTTGGTTGGAGGGGTTAACACTACCAAGCAGTTGTACGATGCGAAATTCAAAATGCCAAAGGTATTGAGAGATATGATCATCAAACTAGTATCTCGATCGCCTGCTTTAAAAAAGGATTTGCATGTGTGTGGTTTTTATGTTGCAGGTTAGGTTGTAACAACAGATTTATTGACGTATTACTCACTGTTCAATTAGAAACTGATTTGCAATTATTTATTTTGGATTGCCCATCAACTTATGTTACTAGACTGGATGCCATGAAAGAAATGCATTATCCAAAATCTGAAGGCCAGATTCATCGTCAATTGTCTGCTGTGTTGAGGAACATCATTGGTCTCAGAATTATAATGGAAAACACAGTGTATGCATTGGATCATGATACAACAGACATTACCATTGGCCGAGATAATGATGAAGCTATGATACCTTGTTTTATTCCCTCTAGTCCTGAAAAGAAAAAGCGCAAATTTTCTGTTGCAACATCAATAAATTCGTAATAGCATATCAGTTTTAGTCAGTCAATATACATAGCAATTCTTGTTTTTTCTGCTGCATTGTGAATAGAGAGTTGCTGACCAAATGTCAAATATAAATGGGTTCTTTCTGCTCTTCATATAGTTGTTTCCAATGCCTTCACATATAAAGCTGTTGACACGTATATAAAATGTTGAAGGGTTGTTTGACATTTTTGTTCCAAATTGATACTCAGGGGTGCAAACTGTATCTTCTTCATATTCAATGATTTGAGTGTATGATATCGTATAATTTGCTTGTACCTCGAAGTTGGTTGAACCAATTGTTGAAACCCCGAAAATGTTGGTTAGAACCATAGATTAACCATCACCATCAAGACCTACGAGCAATACATTCAGACTGAGCTGTTGTTTTTGTGGGTGTTGGTTTTTTTTTTCGATACTCGATGCTTTTTGGATACTGGATTCAATGCGTTTGTGGTAGATGATCGCTTGGTTTTGTTTGATAATTGCTTGGCTGTTGGATTTGATACTGTTTTATGGATTAGTGTTATATTTTCAGTGATTGTGTTTGTTCCAACTGATACCACTGTTGGTGAAGAGGATGAGATTGCTGTTTCCATTGTATTTAATTCCATTGATTCAGTGTGTACTAATTCTGTAGTGGTATTGTTGAGAACTGATGTGTCTATAGCTATAATTGCTGTGAATGTTGACAGATCTGTTGTGGATTCTGCCGGAAGCATTGGAGTTGCACCTTCTGTATCATGTGCGCATATATCCAACGGCGAACCAACAGCGATTGACGATACACCCCTTGAAGGTAATGATATACGCAGTGTCTCTCGACCGAGAAGCTGATACTTTTTCAAATACATGTTATTTGCATTAGCAGCAAGTTGAATGTTTGGTTTTGTCATGAAACGAGACATCAGGTCCAAAGATGCTTCATCTGTAAGTAATTGACGCGTTAAAGCAAAAATTAATTCGTTTTGATTCATGTCAGTGCCTGTACATAAACCCAGGTCTCTTTAAATATTCTTTCAAGACGTTCCATGTTGTTGCTTGTCATATAAACAAGGCGAAAAAAAGTGATAGATAATGTACGAGGCAACATTTACCCAACCAAAATCTATACCATTCGGATAGAGAATAGAATGGATAGTTGAATACCAACGTTCAAGAAACCAGAACAAAGGGAAATCAATTGCAATAGTGAGTTACTTGTATATTTATATAAGTTGGTGCTCTATTTCTTATTCATGCATAACACTGTGTTTCAAGTTGAAATAAAGCAGCTAAACAAGCTAGATCATCCACATTAGTAACCAGTTATGGAGATTTGTTACACGATTAGAATACGTGGCGAACGGATGATGAACAAGCAGTGAAGCCTGTGACAAAAGATTCTACTTTGCTTTGCTTTCCTTTTGGAATTGGTAGGATTAACCACGAACAGGTGAAAGTAGATTTAATCCCAAAAGTGAGTAAAAAAAAAAAAAAAGGGTAATGCAAAAATGCAGAAATCTATTATAGCAAAGCTACAAAAAATGTGTGGTATGAAGAAAGATCAAGATGCGCCCTTTGTCGTAAGAAACGAGGCATGGACGTAGGATGAACAACGCTTTACACTTATATAACAAAAGGCTCATCTTGATGCAAGAAATACAATGTCGTAAGAAACGAGGCATGGACGTAGGATGAACAACGCTTTACACTTATATAACAAATCAATCTCTTGATAGGAATAGTGAGAGAGATAATGAGTTGAAATAGGGGGGATACCCATCCTGTGTTTTTAAAACATTCTTTTTTTTTTGTGACTCAGTTTCTGTCATCACAACCTCATTGATGAATATTGTACAGCCGATCGGATGAGAAGCTCTGGCCTCTTTCAAGAAAACTGAGCCAGAAAAAGAGTACGAAAATTAATCAGGTAAAGAATATCGTTTATTACATTGGAGATAAGAGAGTTTATATACTATTCGAGGGATTTGATATGAGGCTAAGGTGTTATTGATGATAGGATAATAGATCCAATCTATTATCCTGAACATGCCACAACTAGGATCGTAGCTAAATCCTGGTTCATATCAAAGTTGTATGATCTGATGTGATCTGTGCTTGAACTGATTGTTTCTACGCATTTAGAAATTCGATTTAGAAATGGTACATCAAAATAGTCGAGGAGCAAAGCTATGTCGAGGACACATGAGCTCGGTGATTATGGATGCTAATGAAGAAATTGAAGCAATTAAAAAACACAAGTTGGGACATCTTTGGAGAGTCAAGATGGGCAATTTCTTGTCAATCCTCCACTCATCTATGTTAGTTTTCTTGGCAACTTGACGACATATAACCTCTCTCATTTTTTAATGTGTGATTCAGTTTTACGCATCTGTTATAGCTATCAGATCACAAATATCGGCCATCTTATCACTCACATTCAAACGATGCACTTTTGTTGTTGCTGCTTGCAGAGGCAATGTGAATACCAGCATCCACCATTACCTTGTCACGGTCCTCAATGTACTATTCAATGAGATTCTCTTGATCCAGTGGAAATAGAGATTTGTGTTTGTAAAGCAGTGAAAGCCAAAGTATCAAAAACTCGTGCTTTGATGTAAAAATGATTTAGTAATTCAGCAATGCCATATGGTTTGGAAGAAAAGGTCGAGAATGTGATGGCTAAACGCACTACATTTCACACAACTGCTATATCTCAAAAGATTGATGGAGTGTATCAAAAATATAGGGTGGAGCGGCCCGATAGACAGTTGAATGTGTTTTACCCAGCGTAGGCTTTATCTAATAAGTACATCCATTCGTAAGTTTGGGGGGAGGGTTTTTTTTGCATACTAAGCATTTATGCAATTACCATGGTTATTCAAGCAGTAAAGAATATGTCACGTAGATAATAACTGATTTAATGAGCCATTCGCAGTTTCACGATATAAAATTAATTATACTTAGACATGCATAGCTTAATCTTTGCTTGTTATCGTTCAATGGTAAATCACTCGCCTCTATTCTCAAAACAGGTACGTGGAAACTTCACAATCCCAACAACTGGACCAGCTCTGTTTCCAAAACATTTCTTGACGAGACGAGTCAATCTTAACGAAATGAAACGCAAGTCAAACCGAACAGTCGACGGCAATTCAGGCTACAAGATAAAACCTAAACATCAACCCAAAAGCAATGTATCCACCAGCAAAAGGAGCAAAGGCAAACATCGAGGACATGTGGTGAACAACTGATTCCAGTTTTTATGACAAATATACAGTACATACCTCACTGCTCATGAAGTGTGCCCTATATCTACGAGTAAACAAATTGATACCAAATAAATAACAAGGCTGTTTAGTGAACAGTTTGAAAAATCTTCAGGGCTTTAGTAGCATTGAATACAATAAAGAGAGATCATGAAATGTGCTACTTGGGAAATCTCACTACAAGGCATTCTTGACACTGCTCTCTCTGAAGGGCTGTCAATGATAAGTAACCTGTCCCGCTTTTATTTCAAATCAAGCTCCCTCCCAGGTTCGTGCTTTTCTCTTTTATCCTATATATGCTGCGACACCTTGCAAGGCTTCATTACAAGCCATCCTTCAGCAGCAAACGTGTGAGACAATGCAAATCACTGTTCAATGGGTGTGTTATTGACTGAATGTTAGATTGCTTCTAGTGCTTTCGCGGTTCTACAACATGGACGCTATGTATCGTCAGGGGTAAGTTGTCGTTGCCCGCTTAGAGATCAACACGACTCAAGACAGCATGATAGATTACTACGAGGTCACAGCAAAGCAACTTTCGTCAGATTGGAACAGACAAGGATGCTGGAGCGTTGCAGGACTTACTTCGCAGAGTAATGGAAATTGATGCTGATATTACACAAACACCTGTTGCCGATTTCAAGCCAAATGTAAGCAGGGATACCACCAAGAAAATTACTTATTGAATGCCACCATGTAGACACAAACTTGCACAGCGTATTGCTTGGCAGACGAATTTGAGTTGGATGATATCTGCACGAAGCTTCCTATAGACGACTATTTTGTACAGAACAACTACGAGGACATGCTCCACATCTCAAATGCACAATCTGGTGGGGATGTCTACCTGTTCAGCAATGGTACAGTAGTATTTTGGGGAAGTGATCAGGGGAAGCAGGCTGGATTTTTGCATTTCATTAGACAGCAGCAATCTACATCAAATGCTGTTGAATCGAAGGAAGTGGTAGAATACACAATTGACGAGGACGAGTAGGTGTTATTGGAAGCCCTGTAGTTGAATGCTTGTGCTGAATATGGGTGAATAGGGTGACGGATATGAAGGGTGATATCGTAATTTTGAATCCATACATCCCATCCGTTGATTTTTCGAAAATTGCCTTTTCGTATGGACTTGGACGAGCAGCCAAACTGAACAGCATTGAGCAATCCCTCAACAGCTATCTGACAGAGATTGCCAGCATACCAGCAGCATTATGTCATAAAGAATACAATGGGAATCAATTGGACAATCGAATGCTAGTAGGAAAATTGCTGTCCATTCAGCAAAGGATGGTCAAGGGGTCTCGAGATGGATTGCTGGGTACATCTGATTTGAAATGGGCAAAACCTGAGTTAGAGGGTTATGTCAACAAGATCTCTACCAGATTTGATATATCAACAAGGATTGACATTATACACAAACAATTGGGTAAATACAAGTAAATAATTGATTTTATAGAATTTCAGCTAATGTACCTGACTCGGTATAGATTATGCAAAAGAGGCTGTTGGTGCTGCCAGAAAATACACTAGATGATAGCATGTTGAATGAATAAACCAGTGGATATCCATCATTTTTGATGAAGAACATCATCAAATCCATTCATTAGATATAAAATGTATCCATCAGCTCTATATCCACTTTATCATTCAGTTTGAAATGACTGATTCGCCACCAAACCCAATAAACAAGCATGCAAGTGCCAGTATCTCATTGATCCACCATGAACATAGTCCGTTGTTTAGCTTGTCATACATACAGTAGCAGGATGTGGTGCCTGATTTTGCTAGGGCTGTGACGTCTGGGACAATGTAGACATTGAGATCCCACCTTTTTTTGTTGATATCAACTCCCTTTTTGCCTGTCATTTGAACATTTCATCCACCTAGTCAACATGTCTGCTTCATTTGCCATTGCCTCTCTACTCAAACGAGTGCCATGTCGAGCCAATGCCAGTCCAATGGCACATGCTCGTCGCTTCCAATCTCTGGCCTTCACCCATGTCACATTACAGTCTGTCGCCCGACCTCAATTAGTGAAATCAACACCACGCCTCTTGTCTGCTTCTTTATGCCACAAGTATCAACAAAAGCACTGGACATCTACTGCAACCAGTGCCACTACCACTACAGCCACCGAGAAAAGCAAACAGCCAGTGGTCTACAACAATTGGCTTGATCATTTACCCAAGAAAGTGGCTCCTTATGCATTTCTGACTCGTATCGACAAACCCATTGGTACCTGGCTGCTGTTCTGGCCTTGTGGTAAGTAGGAGCATACACTCGGATTCACACCACACAACAACTGACACTGTATCCAGCTTGGAGCATTTCAATTGCTGCTTACAGTACAGGTGCCTCCGTCGTGGATGCCGCCTCCATGATCGCCCTGTTTGGTACCGGTGCATTGATCATGCGTGGTGCTGGCTGCACCATCAACGATTTATGGGACAGAGACATCGATGACAAGGTAGAAAGAACCAAGATTCGTCCCATCACCTCGGGTGCCATTTCTCCCAAACAAGCCATTGCCTTTCTTGGTGTGCAATTAACGGCAGGCCTGGCTGTCTTGACGCAACTCAACATGTACAGCATCCTGCTTGGCGCCAGCTCATTGTCGTTGGTGGTCACTTATCCTCTGATGAAGCGTGTTACTTACTGGCCACAAACAGTGTTGGGTTTGGCGTTCAATTGGGGTGCGTTGCTAGGTTGGTCTGCCATGACTGGATCCCTCGATCTCTCGGTTGCTGGGCCACTATATCTCGGTGGTGTCTGCTGGACATTGGTGTACGATACCATCTACGCCCATCAAGACAAGAAGGATGATATCAAGGTGGGTGTCAAGTCTACTGCTCTTCGTTTTGGAGAAAAGACACCACAATGGCTGGCTGGATTCTCCACTGCATTCATTGGTTTGACAGCTGTTGCTGGTTATATGAATGGTCAGGGACTCCCTTTCTACGCCATCAGTGTGTTGGGCACAGCCAGTCATTTAGCATGGCAACTAAAGACGGTCAACTACAACGACACGGCTAGCTGCTGGTCTAAATTCAAGAGCAACACATGGGCTGGTGCTATCTTGTGGTCTGGCATTGTAGCTGATGCTGCCTGGTCCTCTATTGCAGTTTGATTTATTTCAATTTTATTCATTAAAAAGTACTAGGCATGATGATTATTGAGGATAACTAGGATAACCATATTGATCGTGTTGGCTTTGATTGTTATTAGGTCTGTTTCCAGGCAATGGAGGTGGAGGTGGGTAGCCTTGGCTGGAATGGCCACCATTACCAGGCATCCCAGGCTGTTGCTGGTAAAAATGGTTGCCTCCATCTTGTGCGGGTTGATGGAATCCAGGGACTCCTCCATGTGCGCCTGCTGATGATGGTGGTGGCGGGTATCCAGAATTGGCATTAATGGGAGGATAGGATGGATAACTTGGAGGAGAGGTAGGCATTGGATTGCTGGATGGAGCAGGAGGATAGCCAGAGGGCTGTTGATGTTGACTGCCTGGATAACTGTTGTAATTGGATGGCGACGAAGGTGGATATCCACTGCTGCCTACTTGCTGAGGAGGATAGCTGGGTGGAGATTGAGGGGCTGGTGGGTAGCTGGAGGGAGATTGAGGGGCTGGCGGATAGCCTGGAGTAGGTGGATATCCGCCGGTGCTAGCAGGTGGCGGAGGTAGAGGCGAGAAAGAAGATGTCGCATTAGCAGGAATAGGCTCAGGGAAGCTGGATGGTGAAGGTGCTTGTCCTGGTTGAGCATTGGCAGGAGGATAATTGTCATTTCTGGGCGGAGGTGGAGGTGGATAGTTGCCTGATGAAGGCGCTTGACCTGGCTGGGGGGGGGCAGGAGGAGCAGTGGTAGTGCCACCATAGAAAGAACCATAGTTGGCCAACACGGGATCGATGCGCGAATTGCCAGCAGCATTGGTGGTGGCAGGGGGCGCTACATTGTTTCCAATGCCATTACCTCTTGAGATTGCTTGCTGGCCTTACGCTTCTTTTGCACAATTGTCTTGTCAGATTTGAAAGCGCCTATCCAGACAGACTTGAATACATGCAACATTGAATTAAGCAGCAAAAGCTTTCTACTACCTAGAGCTAATGTCCATCACTATGAATTGTGTGATACTTGAGTATAAATGATTTCATTCTCTGTTCACACAATGCTCACTTACCGTGACCCGACTTCTTGTTGGTCAATTTTCCACTATCAAAAGACCACAATCTAGACAAGGAAACATGAATTACTACCATGTACACGCACACACTCCATTGCCGTTCTTACTGATTATCGCTGTCCTGAAACTTTTGTGGCCACACAATCAAGTTGGCTCCTTTCTATAGCAATAAACAGCGTTGAGTTCTTGGCAAAACAAGACTGACGATGGGAAGATTACCTTTGTTTGACCATCATATACATCGAGAGCAAAACCGTGCTTGCGAGACAGGATATAGAAATATCCTTCGGGAAAAATAGTCGTATTACTCATTTACACACAAATTCTGCAGAAAAGTAGAAGAGTAAAAGAAAGAAAAAAGAGTGAAATGTTGAGCAGTGTTCAAACTTTAACTACATGACCTTGCGCGACTATTCAATATCATGTTGGGCTTTCTTTTATTATTAGTTTGTATTGACGCCTTGCCATCATCCCATTACGTATCACTTCATTTGCCAAGGTTTGCATGTGCAAGTGTTGCTCGAGAGGATGATATCTGCTCTCTTTATGCCTTTTAACTAACAGTATACGTTATGAAATTGCAAGCAGTGGCTGATGTGTAACCTGCTTCATTTAGAAGCAAACACCTGCTTGTATCCAGGTAAAATGTCATAGTAGCTTTGCCAACTGTGCGTCATGTGAAATTACATAGTATTTGTATTTTTTTACTATAATACTATGATGTGAGTACATATGTGAGGTATCTTTTCAAGACGCATGGAGTCAAATCAAGAGCATAGATGCATTGCAATTTCTTTTTACGTAAGGATCATTGATATTTCCATGTTGTACTCACGTCTACTCTGATCAGTAGAGCAAGGCCTTCTTTCAACCTATCCTAACTCAATAAAATCCGTATGTTTGCCACATACCACCATTTAAAATTTTCATCTGGCGGTTTCTGTATGCCAAAGTTGACAAATGTTTATATGCCAATAGGATTCAAAAAACAACTTTAATGCATTCTAAAATGATAGTTGTAAGGTGATGGCTCTCACCTCATATACACAGATCTTTTTGCTATAGGGCCAATCGCTCGTGGCAACATACATTATTTCATAGATGCAATTTAATTAATAACGATATACATTAGATGGTAGTGATAAATTGATTTAAAGTACAATAAAGTAGGTGGCAATGGTAGATACCACCAAAATGTTCATAATTTTAGATGTAGTCATCAGTCCAAATGATGATGAGCCACCACTACTGGCCAAAGCATTCATGACATCTGTATCCAAAAAGCCAAAGCCAGAGAAGGTGGTGTTCATAGTAGCACTGCCGACTGCCGTTGTATTACCACTGGCAGTGTAACCAGGCATAGTAATCAAAAGTAGCTTGTTGACTCTGGTAGATGGTGCAGACTCTGCTCCCCAAATCCAATCATCCGTGCTGTAGGCAGGTGCAGCAGCCACTGTATTAGCATCGATACCATTTGTCCAAGCAACAGCCACACCACCGGAGGCGTCAGAGATGTTGACAGTGGGTTGATACTCTGAGCGGCCCTCTGTGTAATCGCCAATGGATAAGCCGTAGGTGAGGTTGGTCTTGATTTGATTAGCGACATCGAGAGGTGTGGTCATATTGACATCAAAATTGACCGGCTCATTAGCGTGAGTGGACAGCAATTGAGCCACGCCCAAGCGAGCATTGGGATGAGCATTGGCTACTGTGGTAGGGAATCCTTCTAGGCTAAAATCGTATTGTAACGAGTTGGGTTGCATAATGATAGGTGCTGTATTATTCAATTGCAAATTACTGGTGCGGTAAGTGATGCGAACAGTGAAATTGGGGCTTCCAGTAGTGTTGCCTGCCGTGTTGTTGTATGCCGCTGTAGCAGCGGTGCCTGTCTGGAGATAGGATTGAGTGGCATTGTTGGGCACAGTCAGGTTGGTCACTTGGAATGGCTGCCATGCTAGGTTCTGCAACGAGGTCACTGAATAAATTTGCTCATTGGCATCGTAGAATCCATTCTGGTTGGCATCCTCAAACTCAATGACCTGAGAAAACTGCAAACGGTAGACGAAATCAGCATTGCGAGCATTGTGATCTGACGAGGCAAAGAATGCATGATCCACCATAGGATACTGGTTGTTGGTACTTATATTGAACGAGATATGATAGTTGTCGTCCTTGCCAGAATTGGCTGTGCCATTGATGATGACATTGTTTGTATTGCTACCTTGTTCGGTAAGCTGTGGTGCGTAGTAATAGCCGTTATTTTGATTGTAACGATGATACGCTGAATGATAGCCATAAAACAAGAAGGGCGGCATGATGGCAAAGTAGATGAGTGCTGGATTGTAGAAACCTGTGTATCCGTACCGAGAGGCTGGGCTGTATCCACCTGAATAAGCGGGAGGGTAGTTGGTGTAGGATGCTAGCAAAATGTCATTAGTGTCTATATGGCAATATGCGCTCGTGGGATGCAATGGCTTACATCGTGTGCTAGAATAGTAGGAGGGTGGTGCTCCACCAAATCCTCCACTTCCACCCTTGGACGAGACACTGTTGGGGGTAGATCCTGTGCCTGTACACCATTTGGATTAGTCTCTGAATGCTGTTGCTGGCAAGTGTGTCTACTGTTTACCTGCTACACCTCGGCCACCTGTACTTCCTGTGCTGCCAGTACCACGGCCGCCTGTAGAACCTCCACTGGATCCACCGCTGGATCCTCCTCGTGAGCCTCCACTTGAGCTTCCACCACCTCCACCTCTACCACCGCCTCCACCTTTAGCAAGGACGGCTGTTGTACTTGTCATGTGAGTAAGATTTTTTTTTTTTTCTGGAATGACAACAACTTACACAGTGTGCAATATATCAGCACAATGCTTGTTTTCAGCATCAATCTCATTTTTTAGGAATAAATTCTATGTATCAATTGAGAAGAAGAAAAAGAGGATAGAAAAACCAATAGATTTATAATCCTCCATTTCTCTCAAGAAACAGTGTAAAAAGAAGTCCAAGAACAAGCTGCGTGTGTCACTTGCCTTCTTGGTCAAGATTCGTACCTTTATTTTGTGTTTTGTGCATGTAGCTGAGATATGCTGAGCAGCGGCAAAAGTTTTTTTTTTTTTTTTTGCACAAGGCTGGTGAAAAGTGTAACAGCTTTGCTTGCATCAGTTGTTTGTGTATACTGTGAGGGACGCATTTGAATTGAAATTAGAACGAAAACTGACAGCTTGAAATGTAAGAGTTAGTTTGTGCGAGATGTACTTGGTCAAGGACATTATTAAAGAGCCATATCATCATAGTGACCTAATACATTGCCCAGCTACAACATCTCAATCTGACAAGCATGCTTTTGTTTACGTACAGTCAAATGCTCGGTAATTTGAACGGCGATCTATTGTGCCAACTGTGCCACAAAGGCATGTAATTTTGGCTTTGAAGGAATCGATGTGTCCATATATATATATCTATGATCATCGCATTTGCTAAGCAGTACATTCATTTTTTTTTAGCTTATTTGTACACTATGCTTAGACTTCGGCCGTTTTGCTACTAGTGATTGCAGCATCTCCTTTGGTCGATGATGTAATTTTCGTTTACAAGGCGTGGAGCTATAGGGTAAGAGGCGAATCCAAGGAATGGGTAACTATAGGGATCACATTTGATGTTCTCAAATTCACCGTTGCCATCATCTATGAATGTTCTGATACTATAAATGGCAACAAATTTTTATTTGCTTCATCAACTGCTGTCTTCCTGCTTACCGTTGCAATAATGTTATCTATCTAAAAAGGCTTTGCATTCAAAATATCTTACGGCATTTGTGGGTAGGTTGGCAATGCTGGATTTTGCATTGACCCAGCATTTGAGGATGTATTTTTTTTTTTTGCAAATAGTATATTTATCAGATATGAGATTGCTTGAGAAAGTTAAGATCAAGTAGCAAAATCAAAGTACAGCTCTTAGTTTCTTCTTGTTAGCTTCAAATGCATTGATCGCTTTCGTAGATTAAGCAGCATTGATGCTGTCTGCATAGCAGTAGCCCTCAGCCAGAAATTGATTAACATTCCGCTCGACGTTTTGTCGTTTATTTGTTAATTTTTAAACTTTTTGGACACTATTCGACCTATTTTGCCAGGTTCGATTATATAAATTGCAATGATCGTGCTATATGCCCTTATGCTTTCTGAAAGTACTTTTCAAGGCGCTTCCAACGGTACTGGTTAGAAGAATTGTTTTGAAGAAGCTTATCAAGTAATTTGTAAAAACATGAAATGAGGATTTTGGCAAGAATGTTGAGATTTTGAACTCGAAAGTCTCACAAACACACTTTTAGGAGTTGCGTTGGATTGAGAGAAACGCTTTAATCTAATATATACCTTAGTGGAAGTCTTCGTTTTTGGAGTCAAAAACGCGATCGTTTGATTTTCGATGAAAACTATGAGGTATCTCTCATGGTTTGGAGTCGATTTTTGGCAATCTCGTAAAAGTTGAGCAGAGGTGTCAGTGAGCAAGTGCTAGACGAGAGAAACTGTTTGTTGCTATTCTGGAAGTCTGAAACGGCTTTTAACGCTAGAAAACGCGACTCAAATGCATCTAAATTTCGCTGTGTGTTGCTTACTCATGGGTAGTTGGAGGCAATGCGAGCCGATTATCTGCATGTATCTGAACTGTTTCCATTCAAGCAGATGTGCAACATCCAGGAGTGCCAGAGCCACAATGACGGATAGTTTGTGGAGGCTGTTTATTTGATAATGGAAGATTGAAATGCGGACAGCGTTTATTAGTAGGACAAGCTTGCAAGATTAATCATGTTAATGTAACGAGAATTGACTGTTTGCCATCCAATGAGCATTGATTCAAGTACTGACCAAATGATAGCGACTTTAGCTTGCAAAATCTTTAATATTCATCCTTTACGCTCATAAAATGTCCCACAACATGTTTATAGTAATGAGCAAATGTATCGATGGGTGAATGTCTAATTAGGATCCCTGAATCAACGCAATGCGGTTGGTCTCAAATGATGCCGGTCTTAGTAAAAGCGGATGAAACTCCAGAGAACAATTGGTTGATTGATGGCTTTGATATTTATATCAAGCAAATCACCAAAACTCTACACCTCTTTTCAAACACTCACTTTGACCCTATTACAATGTCCGAAAACATCATCCGAGTTGGTATTCTTAATGCTAAAAACCTTGCTGCAGCGTAAGGCATTTATCAAACAACACTATCTCATTGTATGCTTATTCGTTTATCTTATTTATAGTGATAATACTGGATTCTCAGATCCATATGTTGTAATGCGAGTAAAGTAAGTCCCATCTCACAACTCCACATGGAGAAATCAGGCTCTCAACAAATCAACCCGCCGATAGCCACAAAAAGTACAAGACCAAAGCCATCAAACAGACATTGGATCCAGTGTGGGATGCTCACTTTGACACCAAAGTCTCTCCTAAAAAGACGCCTACTTTGTTGTCATTCACCGTTTGGGACAAGGACACATTTGGCAGAGATTTCCTCGGCGAAGTGACAATTCCATTCAAGAACATTTTTGATAGAAACAACCAAGGTGTATCAGACGGTGTACCTCGAAACTACAAGGACCCCAGCAATTACGAAGCCTACTTTCAGTTGGCAAAGAGGAGTGAAAAGAACAATGTCTCGGGAGACCTTTGCCTAAAGTTTGGCATACTGGAAGATCACATTGGAGATGTCAAAAGGTAATTTGCCCATTGTGTGCAGTGTTGTGATGAGAAGATGGCCGTGCTTTAACTCGTATCTTGTCTAGATATGCTGATGCTTGGGAGCTATTGAATCCTTAGACAGCCATATACACATGCTTAGATATCACTTATTTATACCTCTATCACTCTTTACTTGTATATCACACCCTCCCTGATTATTTTTAGAGCTGAATGTACAACCATCATTGCACATTAGGCTTTGCAGCTCAGTTGATTAAATCAATTTACGATACCGCTTTCAGGATGTAGTGCCTGAATGGATCGAACAGAGTTTAGACGTTTTGGCTAAATGGTAGAGGGTATTGTGTCTACCATACAGTGGGAGCTTTTAAACGACTGCTTGTATTTAGAACTTACATGGCAAGCATTGCAAATACATCATAACAGAGAGAATATTTATAATATTAAGTGCTATAAAGGCCTACCGCCTTTTGTTTTTGCAGGCTTTTTAGAAAAGCCTGTATCTAAAATAGTAATGACGCTGCAATTGCAATGGTAACAAAGATGGCATTTTCCAGTTGATTATGCATGCCATTGCTGGCAGCATTGGACGAGCCTGATCCGTTGGTAGCAATGCCATTACTGCCGCCTGTCCGGTTGACAGGTACAGCAGTGTCCTTGTATTGACATTCGGTGGATGTGCAGAGGCAGGAATTTCCAATAGGATCCCACCATTTTGTGCTATGTATACATGTAATTAGTATTGATTTCCTACAATGTTTGAAAGACAACTTACTCGCAGTTATTGGGAAGAGGATAACGGAACCCAGCTGAGCCATTTTGAGCTGCCGTGGCAGGCTTGGGTGTATCTAATGTAGGTGCCGTGCTTGGGCAGTTGAAGCATGTATTGAAGGTAGTTGTACCAAAGTTGCAGCTATCATATCCGTGTTAATATATCAGAACATTCTCTGAGAAAACGAGCATTACCTGTTTAAAAGGCCATCGTCAACATTGGCATTGTTATCATCGTCAAGACCGTTACAAATCTCTTTGGCGATAACAGGCTGTTCACAACGCATGTAGTCTTGCTTTCCTAGTTCAGATGCTTTGACAGGATTCTTCATCCATTGCAGCAATTGCTGATTTGTCACAAACCATACGTCAGGCTTCTCTGAGAGTGTTTTGATTAAAGACACTAGACCATCCAGTTTGGGAGCAGGATCGGGCAAACCAGGATAGCCAGTCAAATGAGCTATGAATGCGTTGTTGGGACAAGTATACCACTCTATCTAACCTGAAAACTTACTAGGATGGACATAGATACCAAATGGCTGTCTGCCACCATTGTAATGCTTGTTGAATGTGTCTAGACTCCATTTCGTGACATCTTCAGGCTGTCCAGCAATGTAGACATCCATCAATTGAGGAGTACTGATATTATCAAGAACAGCATACATGGGGATTTCCCAAAGGCCTGGTAGCTTTGTTTGACCAGCACCGCAGATGCCAGTCCAGCAGTCGTTTGCCATGCCATAGTCTAATGTATATGGCCAGTAAGCATCATCTTGTAATGCACTGGAACTGGAATCATAGAGGAAGCCTAACTTCGACAAATGATTCAAGGTGTCCTTTGTGTAATTCAAAAAGGGAGCCCTGAATCCCTGAATCTTGCCATTGGGTACACCACCATACGTATTCAGCATCTCTTTACAGCTCATAATTTCCTCTAAGGGGATTTAAAAGGGGGAAGATGGAAGGAGAAGATTGTAGATGCGTTTGTTAAAGAGTCTCGATTCAAATGCATTGGCTGTGTACAATACTTACGGTCAGAAGGAGTACCTACGTGCGAGAACGTGTGGCTATCATATATAGAGCAAGTATAAGTGAATGGTGTCCATTTGAATCAGCCTTGAAAAAGACACTCACTCTGCAATCTCGTTGCCTGAGGAATACCATTGCTGTACCAAGGAAAAATCTGTATACTGCATGGAGACATACCTAATTGTGTATAGTCCATTATTGAGTGTGTGTGTGTCTCACTCTGTGGAAATGATTAGACCACTTTACCATGTACCACGACCTGAGCAGCCATTGGGGTTACTAGACGGTAAAATAATGATTAGATATATAGTACGGATATGCAAAGAAAGGCAACATACGTGACATTCAGCATGCGCTTTGCTGTCTCGTACAGTTGAGGTTGAATGGAATCATCAAATGTCACTGTAACAAACTGAGGTGTGTCGCTTGGTGCTAATCCATTAGGTGGATTCTTGGAAGCACATACACAGCCATTAGCAAGTTTGCAGACATTGGGATCGCAAGAGTAAGTGCCAGCAGAAGCTGCTGCAGAAGCTGCTGCACCTGGTTGCACTGTATTGCCTTCAGATTGCGCACATGCCAAGCTAGCAAAGGCAGCAATAGCAGTAGCAGCAACTGTGATGGGATAGAATTTCATGTCTTTTTTTCAAATAAATTTTAGAGTAAAAGAAGAGAGAACCAAGAAAACGAATCCAAGGTATATAACGATTGTTTTCAAACTGATGTACATTTTGTTGTTACTCCTGTGCATAAAGTTAATTTGAAGATGGTTTAGCTTAGGAGTAGCTGACACTTCAAGGAGGGGGGGGGGCTTACGAGATCTCTCACTCATTAGGAGGGAGATCTCCTTGGTTTTGTTTTATAACCCAAAAATAGCTGAATACGAACAAAACGCTCCTCATTGTAAGCATCGTGTTATTCAAGGTTTTATTCAGTGGTCTGTGCAGTTTATCAAGGGCAAATCTATTTGCGATGTCTAATACAAAACTCGTTCATTCTCTTGTAGGCCTCTTCAAGACGGTCGTAAATGGGAGGAATGACAAATCTGACAAAATTGGGATAGTTGAAGCACTATAGAGGTTTTGTTAGTCGCCATTCTTTTCACATGTTCCCAACAAAGCACAATTTACCTCTCCTGGAAGACAAACAACGTTTTCTTCATCCAACAACTTGGCACAAAAATGCAACATCGGACTCAATATCCTTGAATTTCTCGACTTGAATGCGAACCATAAAGAAGCTGCTTCCTTCAAATACAGTAGTCTTGTACCTTTCTGTCAATCTCATGAACATAATCCTTTATTATGGATGTGTGGGTGCAATTGGGATGGAATCAAATCAAAGTGATGATTGATTAACATCTGATACTTTTGAGCACAATTGTGTATACTCGAACCTATTTCTACAGATTCAGCTGTCATTACTGTAACCACACCAATGTTGCAAACGAGTCATTTTTGTACAGAAGCTTTGCATTTCTCCGCTTTTCATTTAGTTGAAATAAAAGTTTTTTTTTTTTTTTTTTTTTTTTTTTTCTTCTACACCAAGCGCGCATATCTGATTTAACCTGCTATGCAACGCAATCTATTGTTTTTACAACAGCAACAACAGCAGCAACAAGCATTGGCTCGTCAAGCGCAACAACAAAGAGCTGCTGCTACTATGGCTGCTTCTGGAGGTCAGGTAAATCCGTTGGCAGATCCAATAAATACACTATGGGCTCAACAACAACAACAACAGAGATTAGCACAACAGCCTAATGTATTACTACAGCAACAGCTTCAATTAGAAAATGACAATAGAATCAAGCAACAAAAGTTTTTGCAACAACAACAACAACAACAACAACAACAACAACAACAACAACAACAACAACTGACATCCATGTATAATGTGACACAAAAAGAGACGCCATCACAGCCACCACCACCACCACCACCACTTTTTCAGAGACCATCATCAAGTACACCATCGACTGTACAGCCTCTCATCTTCCCTGCACATGCCATTAATGTCAAGACAATGCTAGAGCAAAAGAACCTGGATCTTTACGAGGGCCGTGATCAGCATTATCAACGTACGTTGGACATGCAACACAAGAGACACATGGAACTAGCACAATCAAAAAAGCACGAAATTGACTTGGCCAACAACGAGCGTAGACTTAGATCACAAAGCCGTGGCATTTTGGCATTTGGGAAGGGTTATAACGGATATGGTAATGGCAGAACAAGTGACAGTAATCAAGGCAAAGTGCTGTTTCCTGCAGCCAAGAAGCGCAAAAGATTCCACCACACAACAGCTGTCAAACTGTCCTACCAGCAATGCTTGGAACAGGCCAACAAGGAAGAGATGCTGGTGCCCATTCGTTTGGATTTAGAAAGCGATGGCTACAAAGTCAGAGACACATTTACATGGAACATGAACGAATCATCGATTACACCTGAGCAGTTTGCAGACATCACTTGCGAGGATTTGCGTCTACCATCCACTATATTTTCCTCTCTCATTTCAGCGAGTATCAAGGAACAGATTCAAGAGTACTTTTTGAACGCCTCGAGTATGATTAGCGATGACCAACAAGACCAAGCTTTGAATCCTTACGACGAATTCATGCAGTGCAAAAAGCGAAAGACGGCCTGGATACCAACGAAGGATCATATCAAAGATAATGACAGGGTGGAATTGAGAACGCTGATTCGACTGGACATCATTGTTGGCAACAGGATTCTCAACGATCAGTTTGAATGGGTCATTACGTGTGAAAAGAACTCGCCAGAGTCATTTGCAGAGACCATGGCTACGGATTTGGGGTTGGGTGGTGAATTCAAGTAGGTACTGTACATGGTTGACGCAAGGCGAGAGAAAACTCATGTAGTGCCTCTAGAACTGCGATTGCTCACTCCATCCGAGAACAAGTGTATGTGTTTATTAAATCGCTGCTACTAACAGGATACGAGTTTGGTGATGGACCCGTGGAAAATGAAGACTTACGACGCAGCTTTCTGCCAGTCATCCGCAACGCAGTTAGGGATTGTCGTCTGGTAGAGCGATTTACGCCATCGCTGATAGAAGCGACAGATGCCGAAATTGCAAAGATTGAAAAAGGCAGAACCAGGGAGTCCAGAAGAAAGAGACGAGGCGTACGTAACAGAAGGGGGGTAGCAGCAACATTGCCAGATCGTGAGCCTGTGCCTACGTATCGCACCGTCTTTGCTTCACCACCAGAACACGAAATGACAGACGACCAGTTTTTAAAGAGCATGCAAACCACGCAAGATACGACACCATCTTTGCATAGCCAAAGACGAAGTGCCATGAAGGCTCGCATGAATATCGCAGCAGAAGCCGCTGGTGTCTCGTTGACTTCAGGTCAGTTGGTGGCCAATGCTGATGACAATGTATCCGCCGTTGATCAAATGACACATCCTGTTGCGAGTGAGTTTTACTGCGTGTCGTATGACCAGCGAGAGAGCACATACTAATTGCAAAAATATTCAATAGGCAAAATAATGGATGCTTCATGGAGATGTACTGATTGCAACTGTTCACCATTTATGACGACCATCATTCGCGCTGGACCAGCGGGTGATAGAACGCTCTGTAATGCCTGTGGACTATATAGATATAAATTCAGTAGTATTCGCCCTCAAAATTACATGGACAAAGAGATTAAGAATGATATACCACATCTCAATGACTGGCAAAACTACATGGCAAAATATAGAGCGTAATAGAAATAGATAATACAGTATAAAATAAAACATTGTAATTTATTCCATTTGACTAATAAGCTTAATAACGCTTTTTGAAGGACAACTCGAGTGATTGTGGGGCAAAGGTGAATGCCTTGTCAAATACGACTTCATCATAGTGTATAGAGTCTTTGGGAATGTCAATTTCATAGCGTTTTACTATTGGAAAAATGATTAGATACGGGGTAGCAGTACCCAAGTTGGTGGATTTGACTTACACAACATGCACAGAGCGACCCTTTGCTCAGTCAAACTAAAATTGAGTCCAAGACACTGTCTGGATCCATTGCTGAAAGGAAGCCAAGTAAAACCATCATGGCTGTCATATTCTCCACCTTGCTCGAATCTCTCTGGAATGAAACTCTCAGGATCATGCCAAATCTTGGGGTTCAAGTGAATAGATGCTACGTTGATAATAACCTTGGAGCCTTTGGGAATGAATGTGCCATTCAGATCAATGTCTTGCTGCGTGTCTCTTGACATCAAGTTATCCAAAGGTCCATTTCGTCGCAGATTCTCCTTGATGACCATGTTGAGATAGTTCAGCTTTTTCAAATCTTCAAGAGAAGGTGCAACATCCCAAGGATCGTCACCTAAAATGTCCAACACCTCTTGGCGAGCCTTCTTTTGTACGTGCTATTTGATGATAATAGTGGTCAATCGATTGAGCAGTAGATCTCACATATAAATGACGATGGCTAACCTTATGCTTGGCCAGTTGATACAAGCAAAATGCAAGTGTATTGGCGGTGGTATCATGGCCAGCTAAAAAGAAAATGGCCATATTGTGCTACAAAATAAATTAGATACACGTTACGGCATGAAGATTTGGTATGCCTACTCGTAGTTCTGTGGTTGTTGTCTCTACTCCTTCACGGATATCCGCTTCAATCATCAGAGTAAGCAAATCCTTTTCGTTCTCGGCAGTTTCCTTCTTTTCTCCATTGAGTATCTCTTGTCTTCTCTTATCTGCCAAGTTGCTCAGCATAACGTTGAATTCGTCCGTAGCCTTGATAACCCTTCTTCTTTCAGCAGATACGTATTTGATCAAAAAGTCGTACTTGGCGAAGAGGTTGACAAATGGATTGAACAAGGAGGAGACGACCGTATTGTATCTGCTTGTCCAACCTTCGGGATCATTCTTTAACGACTGGAAATCAAAGCCAAATGCAGATAAACCAAGCGCGTCCAATGCAAACGACTTCATTTTGGGAGTGATAAATACATGCTCTGGATCTTGGTCAATCAAGGCAAACAAGTCTGGCATCACACCACCAAAGACTTTGACTGGCTGAGATCGATGGAAAACAGGGTTCATAATCTAATGCCAAGTAATCAGCGTATGCTCGTTGCCATAACAACCAATGCACCTCACCTTTCGCTGTCTCTTCCACATATCACCATTAGATACAGCCACATTCTCGTTGCCCATGAATTTGACTACAGGACTGGACTCGCCCAGAGCACCAAAAATGGCATGCGATTTAGGAAAATTGTCAGTCTTTAGAAGCAGCGTCTTGGCTGCGATGGGATCAGTGACAAATATGGTCCAATCCAGAGGGATGCGACTCTAAATCAGGATAAATTAAATCAGAAAAGCCAACAAGGGAGACCACTACAAGTAGTTCAACTTACAATGTAAAAGCCATGACCTGCGTTGGTGAGTGGAGTGATCAACCTCTTGTTGCGGTTGAGTACCGACTCTTTCTTGTAAAAGGATTTCATCAATTCCATAAAGGACACTTTGGGAAATCGACGGAGGTACTTTGGTGGTACAGTAAATGAAGCATAGACCTGCTGGAGTACCACACACAGAATGGCCATGCCAATATATGACGATTTGTTTTTTCGTACCACCGAGATGACTCTTTCCAATGCCTGATTGTAGCTTGCTGCTAAGTTCATATTGCTTGTAATGCTGTAATGTGAAAAACTGGAGAGAAAAAGTGGGAAGTAAATACGCAAGGAAGAGGTTTATATAGGTGTTCCGAGCATTGTAGGAAACAAGGGCCAACCGGAAGATCCGCCGAAGAAAGTTGCAGTGCAGATTAACCATATCGTGTACACTTTTAATATACAATGAAGGCTTCTCCTGCACCAACAGAATGATGCCTTGTTCTCTTGGCTGTGCTTGGCTCAATTCATCGTTTTTGTATCATTCTTTCATTCCAGCATATCGTATATCATGTTTGTATATACTGTGATAAATATTATCTTTTTTAGCCATATTACTCTGCTGAGGCATCAACCGCCGAAATCAACAATAGATCAAGTTCTCAGGAATACGCCTCATTTGACAATATTCAAGGAAAAATGGCTGTTGCGTGCATAATAGGTTTCTTATTGGTTACCTTTTGCAATGTTATCTGCATGAAAGCTAGTGTATCAGGAGTTGTTCGGATTAGCCTTGTGCCGCAATATGTACAGTCACACTGACCTCCAACATGATATCACTGGCCAAAGCAATACACGTGCTTAGAAGTGCTGTTTAGTAGGAGTCATCCAAAAAGTAGGTTTTTTGAAATCAAACAGCTGAAAGACATCTATTGCATGGAGAGAGGAAAATGCTCCTATTTTCAAATGGAATATCTAGTTTTCCACAATGGTGTCTTGTTTGTGGTAGCGTGTACGATTCTTTTTGTTCAAGTTTCGTGATCTATTCTGTTATTAAGATAACATTTGCATCTAAAGTACAGTGTATTAAATCAGGGGCAATACCAAACTAGCATGTAGTTGTAATGAGCACAATCTCTCTATTGAGCACTCTACGACATTTACAAAGCTGATACCACAGTGGTGGGTGTGATGGAATTATACAGGATACAAAAGATTACAAGTAGTGAAATGCCATAGATCTTTAAACAACATCTCAGTCGAATCAATTTGCCCTGTCATTTGGCGAGTAAGTCTACATTCACAGGCAATGCATTCAAGCTTCATCGAGGTCAAGGAGATTAAGCGACAGAGAATTCTATCATAGTGTGTATTGTGAATCCACTTGAGCACATCATTTTGCTTGTATTCGAGGTTGACATATTCAGTGGCAATCAGATGCACCCAATTGATGGAAGTTGTGCTTATTGACACGAAGCTCTCAGAGAGAAACACTCGAATTTTTGAAGAAGCCAAAAGAGAAATCTTTAATGTGCTCCAACATGGTAGACAAAGACTCGACCAAATGTCAATCACCATAGTATCCTGATGCATTTTAGGTTGATTCCTGAGACATTCGGCACATGGTAAGCCATAGTCACATTCAAATGGCATACTTTTTTAAAAGCTCCTTCAAAACCTTCATAATTAAGCCCTCTCTTTCTTTTTCTCATTATATTTTTTCTTACTGCCATGTCTTTTAGACCAACGACTCAAAAGCAACCAAAGCCCACCAAGCAAGCCAGGCGATACAGAGCTGGTCAAGTGCCCGAGAACTATGTCGATGATTTGAGTGATTCAGAATCTGGTCAAGAATCAGAGCAAGAGCAAACAGAGGCACCACAGCAATTGCGAAAGAAGAGAGGCGAGTTGACATTTGCTCAAAAGGAAATCAATACAGGCGTTCAGCAAACAGCGATATTAGACAAAGATGTTGGTAGCGATAGAAGATTAAGGCGTTTACAACAAGCTCGGCAATCGATGGGCGATAGTGAAGATAGAAGAAGAAGGCGCCAGGCCTCTTCTTCAGATAATGAAGACGATGATCAAGAGAGCGATGAGGATGAAAAGGCGAGAGAAAGAATACGAATGAAGCAGCGAGCCCTACAACAACAGCAAATGGATGAGTATCAGCAAGAGAACAAAGAGGATGAAGGGGGAAAGGGGCTTGGCCGCATTGGACAACAGACTGAAGAAGAGGAAGAGGTACATGTTACTCAATTCATTGCGTAGACCAATGTACTGATCTCATGTCAATAGAGCTCATCTGAATACGAATCATCCAGTGAAGAGGAAGATACCATTGCCAGTTTACCGAAACCAGTCTTTATCCCAAAAGCTCGCCGAGAAACCATTTTGCAACAAGAGAAACTGTCCAAAGAGGCTGAAGAACGTGAAAAGAAGTTGGAAGAGGAACTGGAAGCCAGAAAAAAACAATCGCATGACATGCTGGCTGAGGAACTCAAGCGTGAACAGGAAGAAGGTAACTGAAGTAGAAGGCACCTTGATGTTGATATGTGTCGCTGACATGAGACGATATTAGCTGCTCACAAAGATACCAACGAGTACGAACAATCTGTGGATGATACGGATGGCTTGGACGAAGAGGCTGAATTCAATGCTTGGAAAGTAAGAGAATTGACTCGTATCAAGCGAGACAGAGAGGAGCGTATTGCGTAAGTATCTGTATAAGAGATGTCTAGATGAAGCCCCCCCCCAACTCAATACATGTATATAGGCGTGAAAAGGAAGAAGAGGAGCTGGAGCGTAGGAGAGCACTACCTGAGGAAGTTCGCTTAAAGGAGGATCTAGAGAGAGCTGAAGCAAGCAAAAACAAGGACAGAGGACAGCACACGTTTATGCAGAAATACTACCATAAAGGTGCATTTTATCAAGACGATTCTGAGGTGCTTCAGCGAGATTACTCTGCACCCACAGTAGATGAAGTGCGAAACAAGGATGTGCTTCCCAAAATCATGCAGGTCAAGAATTTTGGTTTGGCTGGACGCACAAAATACACACATTTAGTGGACCAAGATACATCAAGTCGAGACTCGCCTTGGGAGAAACCATTAGCTAAACGCAGAAGAAAGAATGATCAAGATAAATATTAAAAAAAGTGTTTATTAAATCTATTATGTTGAGATGCCATAGAGATAGGTGGCATACACCACTAGCAATGCTCCCAATCCAAAAAGAATGGATACCTCAAACTGAAATAACCAATAGCTGATGAGGCTGGATAAGATGATGCTGATACTCGTTGCGAACCCTTTGAGGATATTATCAGCGTACTTTACCACCAACCCCACGATGAGGCCGCCTCCTGCTTGAATTATAATAACAATCCACGTCATGACACTGTAGTTTTGAAAGAATCCATTTCGCCATATGGCTGGACCATCTTGCAAGCCGACCACAAACACGCCGCCCAGCAGTACAGAGAACATGGACAGCTGGATGTTGCGGATCCACAGCTGAATCTTGGCAGCTTTGTCAGCATCGTACAAGAGGGAATCCATTTTAATGGCATCTTTGTGAGGAACAGCAGTTTTCACAATCTTTTCGAAATAGACGCCAGCAATACCAGACAGCACACAGGCAGCCAAGACAGAGATGAGTCCTTTTGCGTTGGATTGATTGCCAATTTTGTTTGCTTCTTGCTCAGTCAGTGCCACTGTCTCCCTGCCTAGCAACTGATAAATGGCATCTTTTGGCAAGACAACGAGTGCGATACCAGCAGTCAGTATAGCCAGTGCTGTCCATTTTGTCTTGCTGAGCCGTCTATTGAGCATGACAACGCTAAAGAATGCGGTTGTCAGAATTTTAAGCTGGTATGTCACCTGGAAAGTTGCAGCATCTAAATTTGTGGCAGCTACATATTGAAGGTTGTTCTAGAGAATGTGGTGAGCCTGGGTGTACCATATGCTATTCGATAAGCTACCTGAACAAGGTATAGTGCAGCTGGTAATGCGAGTTTGATGGTTTCTTCCCAATTGATGACAAGTTCTCGGTAAAGAAAGTTGTATAACTTTTTCAAAGATCTACCATGAATAGGTAGTAACCTATATACAACGGCGAGGCATACAAGAGTTTTAATAACCTCGCTCATGAGCACAGCTGTGGATGCTAGATACAGCTTATCTGCAGGTACACTTGCTCGGGTATACCGCATGAACAAGATGAGAGCACTATTCTGTATCACCAGTGTCAACAAGGATACGTATTTCAAATTCTTTCTATCTGTCAAAAATAGCTCGAGTGGGTACATTTACATGTGCTTTTGATGATTATGCATTTACCCATTGAATGTATGTATTTGAAGAGGAAACAAGATGCATGGTATCACACCAACCAAGGTCACATTTTGAAACTGCATTTTAGCTTGAATCTACCCAGCCCTCTGGTAGAATGTGGCCTATCGTGTGCAACGTGTGTATCTGCTTTGATTTAAAGCTCGAAAACCCTGCAAGACGGCAGCTTTTGGCTCGTTGGCTTGAGAAATGTTACTGATCTACAAATCCAATCGTTGAATTTGGTGTCAAATGTTGCATTACTGGTACATTTTGAAAGATATCAGAGAAGGGGTAAATGATTTGCACTACAAGTTACTTGAAGGCGGCATTTCAAGTATTCACTCCTTTGTTTGCTTCATATGGGATGTTAGATTGCTTCTATTACGGATGTATATATATATACTTGTGACAAAAAAGATGCTTTATTCTTTTTTTTTTTCATGAGTGATGTGTATGAGTGAGACAGCGAGATACACGAGGGATATGATGAGAAAAGGGTATTAAAAATGTGAAATGCCATGGCCTGTGGTTTAACAAGCACACGCACCTGCGCTGCCAGTAGAGGGTTGTTGCATCAAATTTACTCCATCCAAGTTGTTTCTACCACCAGCAGCGTTTCTACCGCTTCCAGGTGTATATGTGTTCTCCAAGGGGATTTTTTTAGCAATGGCGGTAAAGACGGAATCCACATTTTTGGACGATTTAGCACTGGTCTCAAAGAACAAAAGACCTGCCTCATCTGCATACGCTTGTGCATCTTCTTTTGGTACTTGTCTCTCGTTATCACTCGACTCTTCTGTCTCCTCCTCGTTGCATAGATCGAGCTTATTGCCAACAATGGCAATGACAATGTCTGTGTTGGCTTGTCTTTGCAATTCCTTTACCCAAGATTTTGCCTTGTCAAGCGTTGCCTGTATTCAAGAGGAGTGAGTTGAAATCAAACATACGGGGTCTTGTATAAAACTATACCGATTTAGTGATATCATAAACAACAATGGCAGCTTGGGCGTTTCGATAATACATGGGTGCTAATGAGTGAAAGCGTTCCTGACCTGCTGTATCCCAAATCTCAAATTTAATGGTTCGATCCTGAAAGGTACACTTTTGAGTCAAAAAGGCAGCTTTGGAAAAAGAAGGTGGGTTTGACGGCAATCATTAACTCTGGTACACAAGGCTGCTTACCTCCAATGGTGGGCTCTCTGTTTTCGACATATTCTCGATTAACAAAGCGTTGAACAAGACTGGATTTTCCAACAGCTGATTCACCTATTCCATAACATGTTGGTGACGACGCTATTGGATCCAACCCTTTTAAAACCTTACCTAGCAAGACGAGCTTAACCTGCTTTGGCTTTCCAACAGCAGCAGATGTGTTTGAATTTGTCTGATTCTCGAGTACGGAATTGGATGCCATAATGAATAAAAGCTACTGAAAGAAAGAAAGAAAGAAAGAAAGAAAAAGCGAAAGAAAGAGAGAAAGAGAAAAAGGAGAGGTAATTTATAGTGTAGGGGCTCCGCCATTTCAGATCAGTGGCACTAATGTGATTGGATTCCTTGGCAACCCTATGGAAAAAAGGTGTCTGCGCTTTCAAAAAGTTTTCTGCCTTTTTCGCTTTGACACACATCTCTACAACACATGGCACAAATATACAAAGCAACTTACTCTGGTGTGCCTGTCTATGAGTTTAATTGTAACAATGTGGCTGTCATGAGGAGAAGATCAGACTCGTATCTCAACGCGACACAAATCCTCAAGGTAGCAGAATTTGATAAACCACAAAGAACCCGAATCCTGGAAAGAGAAGTGCAAACTGGCCAACATGAAAAGGTGCAAGGAGGCTACGGAAAATATCAGGGTAGGTGGGCAGGCGGCACTATTTGTAGCACGCATTTACATGTGTCATTCTAGGCACCTGGGTCCCTTTTGAAAGAGGAGTTGCTTTGGCAGAACATTATCATGTGGACGCCATTTTGCGACCGATTTTCGACTATGTCAAGGGCGATGTCAGTCCTCCATTAGCACCCAAACATGTCACTGCAGCTTCGTCTCGACCACGAAAACCACGCAATACAGAACCCAAACGAAAAAAGGTCATTGTCAAGCGTATGCTCACTGAAGAGGACATGGATGTAGACATGGAGTACCACCATGATTTCAACAATGCTCTTTTTACTGAACAGTTTTTCGCAGACAACATGCACAACAATAACAAGCGTCCCCGTCCATTAGAGGATTTTTCAGGTCAAGACATGGAAATGGCGCATGATCGCTCGTATGCTCAAAAACTGCTGCAATATTTCATCTCGGACGATAATGGGATTCCAGCCATCTTACTCAGACCACCCGCTGATTTGGATGTCAATGTGATTATCGACGATGAAGGGCACACGAGTTTGCATTGGGCAGCTGCCATGGGAAGACTCAAGCTGGTCAGCATATTGATTGATCTAGGGGCAGACATTTATCGGGTCAATTACAAAGGGCAGACTGCACTGATGCGATCTGTACTATTTACCAACAATTTTGATGCCAAGTCATTTCTATTTCTGATTGATATGCTTAAAAAAACCATTTTCAACATTGACAAAAAGGACCAGACGGTATTTCACCATGTTGCAGCAACAGCCAGTTGGAAGGGAAAAGTGCACGCCTCGAGATATTACATGGAATGTCTGATAGAAACACTGGCAAGCAACCAATCTGAGTTGATATCTATTCTCAATGTGCAGGATGTGTATGGTGATACGGCTTTATCCATTGCAGCAAGAATAGGCAACAAGAAGCTGGTGCGATTGCTAATTGATGCTGGTGCCAGTGCCGAAATTGCCAATGAAGAGGGCATGACAGCGCAGGATTATCTATCTGAAGTAGAGAGGAACAACCGATGCCAGCCCCCAGCGCAAGCAGCACCCAGCACAACAGACGATATATACCAACGCAATGATCATCGAGTCGAACTGGCAGCACGAACCAAGTTACGACACACGGTGGAAGGCTTGTTTAAAAAGATCTTGGTGGGCGACAGGACACAACCACCCATTGTATCTCAGGTGTTTGACGGTTTGGCAGGCAACTATGAGCGAGATTTGATACAAAAGGACCACTTGATCAAGGAAAAGAAGAATGATTTGGAGCTGGCAAAGAAACGACTTGCAGGCACAGAGCACACATTTGAGCAGATTCAGTACGATCCAACAAGGATGCAGATTGTGGAGCATGCATCTCAAAAGCTAAGCAAATTACTGGTCAAGCAGACACTGGTGATTCAAAAGGAGTTGATTGACAGTCTGATTAGCGAATACAAGCAAGAGCCACCCGCAGAAAACAAGGACAATGCGGATCCGGCAGCACTCTTGGCAGAGCTAAAGCAACTACAGCAAGATAGAAAAAAACACACAGAGACTTTGATGCAGCTATTACTGAAAACACCCAGCAAACGACATCAAGAATACAAGCGACTGATATCCATGTGCTGCAATGTCTCGTATGAAAATGTTGATTTGATGCTACTACCTCTATTATCGTCATTTAATGAATTGGATGTGCCAAGTGAGCCAGTGGAACAATTGGCGGATCCGTCGATGGCTCCGTTAGCGAATCAAGATGGAGCAAGATCAAAAGGAAAAGAGCGCGAACAGAGTCTACCTCAATCATGAATACGTCTGCTTGTACATGGATGTTGTCATACTTTTGACGTTATCTATTAATAAAAAAAAGAGGGGCGGGCCTGTATGTGTATATAAACTGTTTGTTCTCTCTTTTTTTTTACTTGACACTTGCTAATAACCCATATTGGCTGGCTGCACGTTGATAATCTAAGTAGTAGGGACCAAAGGAGCTTTAGCGATGGGTTGTGATGGAAAATGCTCAAAATGGCTGATTTGTGAAGGGCCTTATGATTGGCTGAGATGGGCAGTTGAACAAGTTGCATGGCTCCAAGACAGACAATTGAATTTGGCTTTGCAAATTCGTCAAGAACGACTTGCATTGATAGTAGGTGATATCAAAGTATTTTTTCATGTCGGTGTTCTGGATAGTAAGTGAATCTACTTGCGTGGATTAAACAGGAAAAATAAATTTCAAAGCACTTGTATTTTATTATCTATAATCTGATCAGTATGTTTTATATTATGTTTGGCAGCATCCTTTAATTATATGGAAAATTTCGACAATGCCTCTTTCTATTCAAGGTCTGATTGCACGTTTGCTTTCATGTCCCAAATTTGCATCTTGCTAAAAGACGTTGCATACAAACCGAATGATAAACCATATTATAAGTCCCTAGGCACCTTTACAACCCTAATATGGAAATTGAGTTTCTAGGCATCTGTCAGGCCTGGCTCATATATGATTAACCAGCCCTACCAGCCATAATTAATTCAAACCCAGAAATATAGTCTGTTTCCAGGTTGGCCAAAATTTAATCATTTTCGACTCGATTGAACTATCTTTGCACATTCGACTAAGTACAATATGATGATCCTCCTGTGTTTCTCTAAGCGTCCCTGGTGGTAGGGCGAAGTGGTAGAACTCCCGTATGCCAACGGGAGGATCCTGGTTCAAATCCTGGCGAACGCAAGTTGTTTGATTTTTTGAAGTAGTACTGATGTCCTCGTTTGGTGTTTTGTACTCTACCCATTATCTATATTTTGACGATTTCCGCAAGACTGTTTTGGCTCTAGGTGTCGCACCTTATTAGTAGTAGATTTCTTTCCCAACTTAATTCAAAAATATCTTATTCCCCTTCTTTGCAGACATTGGGTCCACCAACAGTCTTTTCTATCCCTCAGCATGACATTTAAAGGACTTTAAATAAAACCTGGAGCTCGACTCCCCTACAAAAAAAAAAAAAAAATGTTTCTCTAAGCTTTTTTGGAGTGCTTTTCAAGGCGCATCCAATGGTACCATGCAATATAAATGTTTTGAATAAACTCATTGAATAATTTACGAAAATATGAGAAGAGGTTTCTGGCCAAAATGTCGAAATTTTACATGTCAAAGTCCCACAAAGATGATTTTGTTGAGTCTGTAGCGGTTGCGGACATTCAGTAACTCAGCAAGAGTCGGATCATGATTTACATTGTTTCTCACTGTCTACATTAGGACATTAGGTTCGACACAGAAGTGAATCATATAATCGATTATGATGGTCTCTGATAGTGAAGGATAATGATGGCTACAGATCGTATCATCATGGCTGATTGAGCGAATCGGATTCTTCAATTGACTGATATTAGATAAACATGATACGATGTATTGACTCAGTTAAAACAACAAGATAGATTGATGATTCATCAGTAATGATCTCTTATAAATAGGATGTGTTTGAATCAGTTAATAAATCTTTGAAGTTTTCGTATCTGGTTACTTTTTATAGTCTTCCTTTTTTGAAATCTATCTTAATTTGTTAATACTGTATCTTTGAATACAACAGATTTCAGGATCTACGTTGGATCGATAGAAACATTTTGACTCAATATTTACCATAGTAAAAGTCTTCGTTATTAAGGTAAAAAATGCGATCGTTTGATTTTCAATGAAAACCATGAGGGGTACCTCATGCTTTTTGGTCGATTTTTGTCCATGTTTTTTGATCCCCAAAAAGTTGAGCAGAGGTGTCAGAAAGTAAATGCTAGATGAGAGCAATTGTTTGGTGCTATTCTGGCGATCTAAAACGGCCTTGAACGCGAGAAAACGCGGCTCAAATGCACTCAAATTTTGCTGTATTAGGCACACTCTTGACTAAAAAGGGATAATATCTGTATGATACTTGCCCTTATATGAAGTAGCTACGTGTATATCGATGTAGAGCATCACATAAAAATCAAATCTACAGATAATATAAAGGATTTTATGTGTAAGTGGAGGGTCAAAATGAAAGCAGCAGTATTTTGATAAGATGCGCAAGAGCAATCAGTAGCATGAGCTGCTGCTGCGCAGGTTGGTTCTCATCGAAGCGAAGCAAAGGTAAAGAGCCATCCGAAGCATAAACTTTCATATAACTAGTGATTTTATATCAATCAACAATCAAGGCTCCTCTAGCCGTTTAAACGTAGGTTGGTTTCCACCGAAGCGAAGAGTAGGTCAGGAAACCACCCAAGTGTCGAAAGGCTCGTAAAAAAAATAATGAAGAAACTATAGAATGCGTAACAATTGTGGTGAACAAGAGAGCTTTGTAGCCATTGAGTAAGTTACAAAGCTGTAGTAATGCCATCGTGTGGGGGACAAGTCGCTCATTTCTACGGCGCATATATTTATGCTGCTGTATACTTTGTCTCTTGAACTTTCCAGTAGATTGATTCGGTTTCGAGGTATTTCGAAGTATAACGACAGTGGCATTCCAGATAAAAGCAAGGGCATATGATTCCTTGTACAAACTAAGTGATTCCAATACCAAACAATTACACGAAACAGTGCTGTTAATACATGCATTTCCAGCCTCTCACAGATGGAATGCAATTAGACTGCAAAAAAAGGCATACATCAGTACAGTATTTCTCTTGAAAGGTTGCCCTTTCTTTTGATATGTTTTATGTAGCTCTCAGCTGTTTTGTTGTTTCTTCATAGCGAGTAAAAAGTTCAATATGTAGTAAATGCAGTCAAGAAAAGCTTGAAAAATATCTCTTGTTACAAGGAAAATGATGGCTTCCGTTTAGTTCAGATCAATTTGCGCATACAATGAGTGGCTGTACTCAGTGAAACTACCTCTATACGATTGGTTCAAACGTTGAGCGCCTATTCAAGCTTTTCATTGTGTTGCAAGAAGTGCACCCAGAGATACTGCACCGATAAAAGAAAGGTAGCAGCCATCACCGATAACTATTGCTTTGTGCTTGCACAATCGATCATTGCTTGCAATACAGTCATTTATGGCTCCAAGTACAATTATTCATATAATGCTTCCACGTTTTGTAACGCTGCTAATTTATTATAAGAGTTTTGGATCAGAATAAAATTGTTGGATACATTTTGATAAACTATCAAACACTAATCAGAGTGCTGCAATATGAGCAAATTTACTGTGGCAATATGGCTTTGTAATTGCTTGATGGGAATGTAGTGTCTTGATCAACCAGAGTTCCTCCATACGTAAAGAATCCGGAGATTTGCCGCTTGTGAGTAGTCAAGTTTTCGATGATAACTACTGCGTTTGTCAGTCAGTACCTCTTCGAATAAAGCAAGCAACCATAGCGAAACAATCAAAAATCTGTTCGAGTAAAAACCATTAATCTACTTGCGAGCGGCCAAGTTACAGATTACAGTTGTCAACCTATTCTATAAGTTTTTAACAGCAAAGTAATAAATTAGTTGCGAACTTATTGCAAAAGCATTAAATACTTACAGCTGGCAAAGTTAAAGAATGGAGGCTAAGAAGCGAAAAGGCAATATTGACCCTTGAGCCACGTCCCATGAATCGATATTCAAAGAAGAAATCATCATGAGGCGCTACTGTCCTTGGCTCAAGAAGTCGATCAAGCAACAGTGAGTCTTAAAAGTGAATGTATAAAATAGGAACTTTTCTGAGCTACCTTTGAGGACAGTTGATGGTTTGAGTCACTTTGCTAGCTCTGCTTGTTGGTCAAGCTGTAGCTATTAATGTATAGTAATTTTGAACCACAAAACTAGCGGTCAGCAAAGAATCGCATGTATAGACCTTCGTCTAAATGCCTGAAGTATACTTTTATTTATTTTGCTGCTATATGATTTGGCGCTATTGATTCAATTATTCATGCAATTTACTATTTCGTAAACTTGAACGAAGATTCCAACAATATCATGTGTAAACAAACACAGTATTATTTTGCTTTTCGACAATCAACTTTCCGGCTACTTTTGCCATCAAATTAACAAATAGTAACCGACTTGAGTTGATACCTGTTCATTATATTTTCTAATTCTACTTCTCGCTTTATACATTCAAGATAAATGCACATAGCTATATTTTGATCTGACAATGCAGCAGAGATTGTCAGCAAATATACAATCTATGACAAATGACCTATATCAGTAGAAATTTCTAGCTGTCTTTCATTCATTTTCTCAAACTTATATCTCTAAAGTGAAACAGGGTAAAGCTGCCAATTAGCTGCTAGGCCAGCAACGCTTTCGGCAAGTCTCAAAAGGCGGCATAATGAAGCCCATTTACCGATGATCTTAATGGACCTGAAAGTCATGTATTTTCAAATAGCTTCTGCTTGCCACAATAAGTAAACAGCTTCTATTTTGCCCAAAATGATTAGTGGGAACGTTTACAAGAGCATTTCACTGCTTGATATACCAAACTACCGCAGATCTTCGCTTTGAATGGCGCATATCTCTGTATTCAAGCTTCGTCTAACTCTCATACTTATACGAAGCAGTTTCTCAGATCTAGTAGAACCTTTCTGTATCATTATTTTTGTGTTTCTGGATCATCGATTTTGAAGCCAAATTCCATGATGTATACCTTATCATTTTTGGCAAATTTTGAACGATGTGATTTTTCACCTCCTAAATGGACTTTTTTCTAAGGTAAGTTATAATTTAAATCAATCCTCTTGAGCCATTCTTTCATTCAACAGTAACTGCTAAGCTGTTTACTAGTGCTATTTTCAAAAAAGCCAAATTTCTTGAAATTTTCTGACAAAAATATACTTGATATTGGAATCAGCTTATATCTGCTAATAAATTTTACTGGTTTTGATAGACACATTAGTAGGATAGCATTAGTACTTTCAGGCGATATTTCGCGAAAACCTCTAAAATTTTTTTCAAAATGTCATCCTAACACGATCCCGCAATAGAAATTTTGTCTGAAATTCCACACTTCGCCAATCACTAAAACTGATCATGCTGTATCTTTGAACATAGTTTGAGATGATTTAGTAAGTCAATACCTCCATTTATTGTTTACACGACAAGCAAGACGTCTAGCAAGTCTTGCCATGCAAAAAACTGCTCTGTTAAAATCTCCATCTGAGGTATATTTGAGAAAAAAGTAGGGTAATCAGAATGACTTGAATCAATATAGCCTAATGGTACGACACTATGCATCATATCGTCTTGAACGACCGTAATTAGTCTACTTGAAAAAGAATCTGATTATCTAAATTGTAACATTTGGCTAAATACCAATCATTGTCAGTTTTCAAATTTTTCAGGTAGCACCAATATTTTGTCTAGTGTAATTCGATTGATATCAAATCAAAGGAATATGTTTATTAGGGATATTAGATACGCAAAAAAAATTTTGGTATATTAAGAAGTAGTAATAATGTAGTAAGAGTCTATAATGAGAATGGTAGAAGAATGCAATTATATATACAAGTTGAGAATGTGGATCCATCCAGAGTCTAAGGAGAGGCAGATGATGAGGAGGAGGGAGGTGTGGATGCCTCACCAAAAAAGAAATCATCAGTCGAGTTTTCAGATAGATAACGGTCTAGTTCTGCTGATTCTCTGCCATCGTAAGGTAACATTTGGTTCTTCCATTTACATTGTGAGCATTCATATCGAACTCTTGAATTGTCAGTGATACGTTTGTTTAAGACAATGAGCGACTTTTCGGATCTGGTGAGTTGAACTGAATTTTGATTTTTGCATCTGGGGCATGGATGAGAGGCATGTTCGAGAGAGATTTTCTTGCCAGAGTTGGATACTAATACGAAGCCAGCCATTGAATATGTGATGTATAAGGTATATTCTATAAGGAAAGGAATGGGTCTGTTCTATGTGTAATTAAGAAGAAGAAATGGAAACAAGGATTGGGGCTCTTATTTATAAGAAATGGCACTGGTGTATGTAGGCTGTCGGATAGGGGAGACCACGTTGTACTATATTAGACTGATAGGACATGTTTCGAAATAATAAAAACTTTTAGAGCCACGTTTCCGATAGAATCGAAATACATGGTAGTGCAATCGATTCGTCATAGCCAATAAACAATGCTAGTGGTTATTGTCGTCATTATAACGTCGGGTGTCACTACTAATATAGTAGCTAAATCTTCAGTTTTGTGAGAAAGAACAACGGTTCCTTCGTCCGAACTTCCGTTTATATTGATTAAATGCATATGGAAGCAGAAAGGGAACACACACACACGCAAAAGAGCAGGAGAAGAGAGAACAATAAGAATTTGTGCCTCCAGTCTGGAATATGTATGTCTACCGAAAATAATAGCATTGCATCATTTAATCATCAAAATTCTATCCTTGCTATTTTATCCCTCCACTCTGAACTCTGTAAACGGCTAAATTAAGGACGTATTTTAGACTAAAAAAGACAGAGATGATAGAATCAGGCGTCATTCACAAGCAATTATCCCTGACTCCCGTCAAAGCCCTCATTAATGTACATGTGCCATTAGGAGATGTATATGGTTCAGAATAGGGGCTCATCCTCCGTATAGTGTGTCTGTTCATTTGCAATTGCAATTACGATTGCTAAATCTTTATATTAACTCAAATGACATTTGTATTCGGCCTAATTGACTCAAATTAACAATTAGCCATCGAAAGGCTGTGTGGTGAAGTGTAATTGTTAGGAACCGTTAAAAGTCTTTGCTCTAGTAGATAAATCTGGGTTGCTTTTATTCATCGTTGCTACCAACATTGCTACGAATACACATTTGAAGATGTAGTCGTTATGGCGGTAGATATACACTGCTCATAATAGATTTCAATTTGAATATCTCTGATGGCACCCAAATCCTGAAAAATCAGGTCTTGCAAAACCTTGATCCAGGGCGCTTGATCATTCTAATACCGTCATATGAGACTCATTATGACCACACTATGGAAGGAAAAATTTATTCTATGAAAGCAATACACTTCATGTTTTGCGCCCAACAGCTGATAATTACAGCAAATGAGCTGTAGAAGATTTATCATGACAGTTTTAATTAGGCTCCTGAAGGATGAACGGCTAAAGTATCATATTAAGGTTAATTGTTATGTGGAGTGAGCAAGGCTATAAATCAAGATCGAAATAATTAAAATCATCACTATCGGTCGAATGATGGATCGGAAACACAGCCAATGATATGTCTGTGTAGCTGCCATGAGATCATAGTGTTCATGAACGTAATTTTGAACTGCCAAGCTTTGGCGGTGTGTGTGTTCATTTCTGTGATCATCAAGATTGAAAAATTCACCACAGCCCTTGGTGGTTGGGCATAGTGGTAGAAAGTGCCAAACGTAAGGTCACCAGTTCAAATCTCGATGGAAGCAAGAATTTTGGTATGCAGTGTGTGATACTGTAGTCCCATTTTGGTGTTTAATTGTTTATCAGGTGTTACAAGTATGACAAAAATTAGCAGCCGCATCAAGTGCCCTGCTCTGGACACTGCCCTCTCTGGTCGACGAAATCTTTCCCAATTGCACACCCTTCAGAGGAACTCCAGATAAAATTCTTCAATCATCGAGACCACTCGATTGGCTTCTCAGCCTCTTTCTCAATTCAGATACACTTTGCTTTACATAACGTTACGTAGGAGTTTTGTAAATATTAGGCCAATCGTTAAATAAGAATAAAAGTATATCCACTACGGTTACATTAAAAAAAAAAAAAAATTCACCACCGCCAATTTTTTAAAGCGAAGATACATTACATTGGTTAAGAATCATCAACGTTGAAGCTTTTTCACATGGCACCGAAGTTCCTGCGAAGGCAGTGCATTGTTTTCACATTTTCAAGATTACGGCGTTTCATTATTTGAATCCATGTATAGCGCCTTGATTTCTGTATGCTGGACAACACGTTGCGGATAAAGCAACTACATCAACTCGTCAAAATACAGATCTTAGCAACAACGCAAAAGCATTGGCGTAAACACATTACTGCAGCCGTTGGCTAAATATTCTAAAGGTATTGCATTGTCAATTGCTATTAAATATTTACTAAATGTTTGATTTCTTGGCAAAGATTGCCACTTTCAGTGCGTGCGCAAAACACACTTTTGTGAGGTCTTTTGTCGATTTAAACTTATTGATATTACTGAAAAAACAACACTCAATTACGACTCTTAACAAAAATAACAGCGTTAGAGTATTTATGGTGTAATTTAACGTTAACAGCCATGAATAAAATGTATCAATTGTCCCTAGAAACCAGGATTGAAGGTAATGTCAGTACATATAAAGTTGCTCCTGAAAGCTCATACTTCAATGTCAGTATATATATAAAAGGGTGACGTAAACGGTTACACTCCACACAAAAGCTCTGAAAAATTCCAAAAAATCAGATCTACAACTTTTTTTCTCGACATGGCAAAATTTATCCAACCAAGAGCTAATCTAGAAATACCATTTAATGAGCATTAAAATGGTGCTAGTCTTGTCTTTTTATTCTCCTTTGTCTCAGAGTTATATAGATTTAAAAAATATGGCATTTTCCAGAAAAGCGAAGAAAACTCTCAATCTCACTAGGCAAACTGTCCTACTGCTCTTAATTAAAACTAATTATAAACAGCAATTGCGTATAATAAATCAAAGAATCCATGTTGTTATCAAATGTTCGAGGAGAAAAGTTGAAAAAGCGTAAAAAAAAGACCAAATTAGCCATATACATGTTACAACAAGCTTTAAATACCTTGTTGCATTAATTAAAGATGTAGGCCCGTATTGCTGCTACTTGCTGCTTTTTAGTGTTTGGAAAAAAAGCAATTTTTGACAAAGATATATACAATTTAGTTTGGAGCCACATTTTTAGACCTCAACCTTCAGGGAAAAATCCAGGTTTTTGTTGAATTTAAAACAAGTTTTGTAGTTGAGTTTTTTGAAACCAGAACATCAAATAAAGCGTTACTGGGGCTACTAGAACCATAAAATAATAAATCTAGTGCTATATCTCAGTGCTCAGAAATCTGAAAAAACCGACTTTTTTTTGTCCTGTATTTGCGTTTATACACTAAAGGCCAATGGAGACGATCGGCGGCTAAAAGTATCTTTCAGTCGGCCAATTAAAAAGATTCATTTGACTTCCCCTTTTTTTGCATTAAATAGAAACTCTATCCATTATTTCTTCTTGAATTAATGTCGGTGAAGAACCATCAGCCCAATCCATCTAGCTTCAAAGCAGCATCTTTTAGTCATCATGGAAAACACAGTGTCAATATGCAACAAATTTTATTTTAATCTTTCTCAGCATCTTCCTTTAAAGAAACAGTACGGTTTACAACAATAGTCTTGAGACCTTCCTTTACTTGGCCAGACTTGATCAATTCAGCATCTAATTCAGTGTCCTTATCCAAACAGAAGTAACCTGTACGAGTGAATTGCCAGCGCATGCTTTCCTTGTCCTTTCCGCCAGTCTTCTTCACCCAATCGGCAATGTGATCATACATGCCAACTTCAGCAATAGCTCCCTTCACAATCTCCAAAGAGTGGCTGTTGATATCATTGAGATAACCTCCTTCCACTGTCTCGGGGTTGTCGTGCATAAAGAGGCGCTCATAGATACGAAGCTCATCCAACTTGACAGGTGAATTGTGCTTGGGAGACTCGGCAACCCAGTGAATGTAGGTCTTGGGTTTCTTGAACTCACCTTCGTTTTCGTAGGTACACTCAATCTCAACAACCTTACCACTGGCGTCCTTCTTGTAGTTGGTACAGTGAATGGGGTGCTTGGCATACAAGAGACCGACAGATTTGCCAGGGGCAAGACGGTAGTAACCCTTGGCATCTTCCTCACGGAAATCAGATCTATCAATGTACAATACCTTGGTGAATGGCACCTTGTGTTCGCCCATAGCAGGGTCTCTGGGCTTGTTGGGAACCACAACCTCCTCGACAAAATCATCAGGGACATTGGTCAATACAACACGGATGGGATCCAAAATAGCCATCAAACGAGGTGTAGTCTTGTCCAGGTATTCACGGGTTTTGGTATCGAACCGAGAAACTTCAATGGTAGATTGACTGGTAGTGACACCAAGCTCAAGGACAAAGTTGTTGATAGCCTCAGGAGGAACACCACGTCTACGGATACCAACAAGGGTATAGAGTCTTGGGTCGTCCCAATCACTAACGTACTTGTTGTTGACCATCTTGAGGATCTTACGCTTGGACATGATGGTGCCAGTAACATTCAAGCGTCCGTATTCCCATTGAACAGGCTTGTAGACTTCCACAGCGTCTACCAACCAGTAGTAACTTTCGCGAGATTGTCTGAATTCAGTGGTACAGAGCGAGTGAGTGATGTTTTCAAACGAATCGACCAAACAGTGAGTGAAATCGTAAGTGGGATACACACACCATTGGTCATGCGTTCTGAAATGAGGTGTATACAAGACACGATAGGCAATCAGATCCCAGAATTGAGGGTTGCCATTGGTCAAATCCATCTTCATACGGAGGGTAATCTCTCCTTCCTTGTAGCGACCCTCCTTCATCTTCATGAACTGATCCAGAGTCTCTTCAATGGGCCTATCGCGATGGACACATGCTCTACGCTCACCGTGATCCTTGCCACCACGACAAGCGTTGATCTCCTCACCAGTACATTGGCAGGTATAAGCCAATCCCTTCTTGATCAACTTGACGGCCAAATCAAACAATTGCTGGAAATAGTCGCTAGAGTAAGTAATCTTAAAGGGTTCAAATCCAAGCCATCTCACGGTTTCAAGGATGGAGGTAAAGTACTTTTCTTCCTCGGCTTCAGGATTGGTATCATCGTAACGGAGATAGGTAATACCATTATGGGCTTTTGCGTAACCAAAGTTGACATTGATAGCCTTTGCATGACCAATATGGAGATAGCCGTTGGGCTCAGGAGGGAAACGGGTGACAACCTTTTTACCAGTGGTCTTCAAGTGTTCCTCCATCAACTCTGGCTTGATTTGAGGGTTCTCACCAGCTTTGTGCAATTTACCAAGTTCACCTTCGAAGAACACCTTGGTGAGATCCACCTTCTTCTCGGGCTCAGCCTTCTTTGAATCAACAGTAGCAGCAGTAGCAGCCTTGGGCTCCTTCTTCTTCTTTTGAGGGGTATCACGCTCATCCTTGGGACCCAACAAGGCAAGATATTGAGCCTCGACCTCGTTTTTTACCTTACCACCATCAGCCCAACGAAGTGCCTCGATCTTTCTGGTGTTGGCCAAAGTAGGGCCCAATGTCTTGTAACGATTGGCAACAATGTTGTCCTTGTTGGCAGTAATGTATTCGGCAATAGCTTGAGTGATTTGCTCAGGAGTAACAACTACACCTAGAAAATGCTGTTGGTTCAATAGTCTGTCCTCTCTCTCACGTGTAGCATCCATTACTTACCAACGCCAGTAGCAGCATCGAAATCCTCTTCCTTGAATCCACTCTCGGAAAACTTGATAGCAGCTACATTTATACCAATTCACAACATTAGCATGATGGGATATGCACACACGCACACACATTTTTTAATAGTTTACCCGTAATTTGGTCTGTTGTCTTGAGATCACCATTCATAATCTTCTTGGTGATGAAAGGGAGATGCTCAACAGGGGCTTTAGCAGCAGCTGTGGCGAGCGTGTACAAGAGAATACCAACATCCTTGTCGCAACCATCGCGCACATTGGCTTCGTTGATGACTGTCTCAAGTGTAGGTGCTAATTTCTTGTTTTTGGCTGTGTCTTTGGCTTTTTGCTCGGATAATCCGATTTTAACAAAAAGAGGGATTAAATCGTCCATTCTATAGTGACTGATGAGTGGAAAAAGAAGAGGTAAAATGGCCAAAAACTTTTTGCTTCTATATCTTTCTGGTGCTGATGCTCCCAACCATGAAAAAATTTAATGAGTCACTTTTTGCAATCCAACATCCGCAGTAAGGTATATCATGTGTAAATGCCACTGCTCATATACAAGCATGGCCAGGGCATATAAGGCAACTTATCTGGCAGCAGGGAAGCATGCCTTACAAGTTCCATGCTGATTCTACTTGATGCTCTACTTGAAAAAAAAAGCTTAAATATGTATAGTGTCAATGAGAAAAAGACCAGATCACAAGCCTAACTGACACAAGGTACAACATTTACTAGATTCTTCCCGAATAAACTATTGTCTTGTAATCTGGACGGCCTCTGTTTATAGTTGTGCATATGTATATAGTTGCAAATGATGTTGTAAAGAAAAAGTGAAATACAAATTATTGACTGCAATGTTTGGTGATGGCAACTTCATCCTGATCACCCCATAGTATTCTTTTCCAGTTCAAGACATAAAGAAATGACGTTTAAATAGTAATTTGGTACAACAATGAGAAAGAGCAGTAATTGAGCAAAGCCGACGGCATTTCCTGGCATTGAACCATATAATTTAGCTATACTAATTAGTGTTGTATCATACAAACATCTTGAATGAGCGTACAAGCCATGACTATATATATATATATATATATATTTGTACATGACTCAAATAGACCGGGATAACAAAGAGGCATATTGCTCATTGGTCTCGTTCAAGCAATTTCACATTAATCACTGAGATTTGGAGTGCTAGCGCTTTCCCGAGATGACACTATTGGCCCATATACAGAAAATTAAGAAACTATCGTATAAATAGAAGGTTTCTTTCAAGGTCTTGGTATTTCCTCTCTTTTCTCTTAAACTATACCAACATGGCTTCCACTACTACTGCTGCTACTCCCACTCAACCTGCTGCTATCTCTGAATCAAGATATAAATCCTTCATGAAGCCTGTAAAATTCTGGTCCAAATCACCATCATCACAGCAGCAACAAAAGGAATCGTCCATAGATGATCTTATCAATAGAGACTACATGAGCCAAAATGGCATCCTACAGCCAGAAGCTACAGAGAGACCACAACCAATGCCACAGCAAGCAAAGCCAAGCTATCTCTCTTTTCATTTCAGTAGAAAATCGTCAAATCAATCTACTGCCTCAGCTCCTGTAGTGGCACTCACAGAATCAGGGAAAACCGAAGTCTACAAGCTATCCACCATTGATGACACTGGTGCCTACATGCCCCCATCGCCCAGCATCACGGGCAAAAGAGACCACTGGATTGAAGTCAATGAAGATGATATGATGGACTTTCATTTACCAGACTCGGCCTGTTTAACCACACATGTGGGAGAGAAACATGATTTCTACACACCCTCTACATTTGTGCAATCACAGCCCTACATTCTGCCCATTCCAAACATGTCAGAATCCACCTTGTCCTCTGTTCCATCTCTTGATGATGGTAATTCAGACCTGATAACACCCTCTTCTTGTAGATCAAGTACAAGCTATCTTTAAATATACTACATTACACTATTAGCCCCCCTAATTTTTAACTGTTAATAAATTATCCCCCAATATCCTTGTAAATTATGTCATTTTAAATCTGTGTGTGAGTGTGTATATATTTACGCATGATGTGATATCATTACACACAATTGCCTAAAAGGTCAAGTTTCTTTTTTTCCCTCTTTTTATTTGGTCAGAAAGACGTTATTTCTATGCGCATAAAACAGACTGTCTAAGACGTATTCAATCATCATGAAGGCATTTTAATATATTCTCTGCGCATATATAAAGGCCATGTATTCCACCTCTTTTTTCTCTCTGTATACAACAACAATACACACACACACAACAATGAATTCTTCTGAAAACAATAAGGGTACTCTTAACATGACTGATGCTGGTAAATGAGAAGAATATGACCAGAGTCGATATTGGCAAACGACTAACGATTCTTTGTCTATGCAGAGATGGAAGCACAATTCATCGAAAGAAATGGCAACTTGAAACAGTCTCTAAACAACATTGTCGATAAGATTGATACCGTACGTAGTTTGGCATGGCTTCATCAAAGATGTACAGACAGCTAATATCTTATTAGGCTTCTTCCAAGACCCAAGACCTGGCCCAAAATGTAGCAGGAAATGGCACTTTGCCATCTGCTGCCAATGCCACCAAGACATCCAACATTCTCGAGCAAAACAACGCCCCCCACAGCACTGGCTTTGGCATCCATGCTATGAATGCCAGGTTGCTGAACAGCATCAGGTCTGATCTGAATGCCATGCACTCGACAAATCCCGAGCAATTTGAGCAGGTGGCTACCAAGTTGGACGAAACATTTGGTCATAACGCTTTGATCTAAACATCATATAACTTTTTCTTTTCATACATGTAAATAAAATGCCAGTGACATCTTACGAATATTGTCTTGATTACCTTTTGATAATCAATGACGGGCATGTTTGTGTGCACAGTGTTATGCCTTTTCATGCCATAATCAGCCCAGTATTGGCACATTTAGCATGCCCAGTTGAAGGGAGGGCCATAGCTCTTAAAATAGCTTGTATCACACACAGACTTGTTTATTCGTTTAGATTGTTATAGTTATGCCTAAACCTGCTCATTCTATCAGTGTCAGAGGATGCGTATTCACAACAGATATAACACCCTTTGCATCAGCGAATCATTTGATTCTCTTTTTCTCCCGTTTAATCATTCTCAAGTGCACATTACTGATCCCACATAGAGTTTCAACAAGGAATACGAGTCTTGACAAGACTTTGTTAAAAAGTACAAAATGACAAGATGCGGTATAACTGACAGTTGCAATGATGTAGCTATACTTTTAAGATTTGTGCCTAATGGAAGTTAGTGGGTTGCACGGGTTGAACAAAGCGCAAGAGTCGAGCGACATAGAATATTTTATTCGATACTCAATGCTGTCGGCTACCATCGGTATTGAGGTGAGATCAATCAAGATGTGGATCCATATGATGGAATCGCAGTGTCATTGTAGAAAGATCAAGCTATAGCACAATCTCTCCGTAAAGCAGATCAACGCGGTGGCTAGAATTGGCAAGACATTGTTATCTTGGAGCGTCTCTTTGAATAAAGGAATCACGCTAGAACGATTATTAATATTCATAAAAAAAACTCCAAACTTTGTGTAAGCACTTCATGTAGTTTATTTGCTTTTATTATGCCTTCATTATTCATGATATTAGGTTACATTTTTTTAACATGTCTGAATTATCCATTTAAGCGTACGAAAATAGAGCAAGTCATCATCACCCTGGCTAGTGCGACACTTTGGGATACAACCTAACTTTCAATTCATAGCGGCTGTCTCCGCCAAGTAGTGTGATATCAAGACCTAGACGTTTCCGGTTTGTATAGCACCATTAATGTCAGCCAATGCAAATTCTGTAGGCAAGAGTTGAGCATTAGTTAAAATACGTTTGACGAAAGATAACAATCTTGGTGTTCTCTTGGTAAATGGCTTGTTTTTGCTTTACCTGAGCAAGCTTTTTGCTTTGAATTGGCTTGATGTTTTACATAGCTAATTGACCATCTTGAACTTGACTTGACACAAAATGTAGGGGAGCGAACCGAATTTGCTTTTATGTACGATTTTCTCAGTTTTGTTGGATCCAGACATAATTATCAGTGAGTACTTGTTGGACTTCTTGAATATTGCTGTATGTAATCACTAAGCGAGGCCCATAAAAGTGTCTATATGTTTGATTTCAAGCACGGTAGGCAAGCTTCCAACCGAACCAGTATTCGAGTGTGAATAATCATCACTTGTTGTTCACCATGCGATGCAGCACTGGCTACTAATCTTCAGTGGTATTGAGAGGTTCATTCTGAATATTGCTGTGTATTTTAGAGATTTTGTTAACTAACATTGAGACGATTGTAAGCGAATGACGTGCCTGAGATGATGAAGTAGCGAGTTTCTGAGAAATTTCATTTGCGAACCAGTAAATCCAAGTGGATGAGCAAGAGCTAGCCTCAACAAGAGTTCGTTTGTGATTAACGATAGGCCATTGCAGTCGGTTAACGCTTCACAAAGTTTTGCTGGGTGGTGACAACGGTGGGAGACAGAGCCATAGAACTTGATCACGGACAGAGAACTCTCTTGGGTTTGGTGGTAATATCAGATGTTGATTGGCAAAGGTAGCAACCATTTGTCTTGTTAGTGTGACGAAGCCAAACACGGACACAGAAAGTGTAATGAGATGGATGGTTGTGTGCTGTGTCCATTTTGAAATATGCTGGTCTTGTTTTTCTGCTAATGCGATACTGTGTACACTGGAGGATCATTGAAGGTGGATTTCAACAAAGCTATAACTTCAAAGGTTTCAAATCGGCTCAACATCTCTTGATGAGTCACCAAGCCTTTCGACTAACTGTTGTCCTTTGTATCAATGTATGGCTACTATGCTTAGATGCACCTGAATTCTTGATCACGGCCATACGAAGGAGGCTAGGGTGTTTCGTGTTTGCTGCTGATCAAGTAGTTCAATCAATGCCTCTATTAAGCTTAAATCAATCACTTTGGAGCTACCAATACCCACGATAAAAGTACGCAAATTGACAATAGAGCTATATCAATGCTTTGTTGAAGGCTGTATCATCTTTTGTAAGGTGTCATATGCCATGTGTTGATAAGGTCCTACAAGCCACTGCTTCTGCTTTTTCGTTGTTGGTGGACTTGGATTTTGACAAAATGCTAAGCAAGCTGCATGATGTACACTTGGGAGTGAATCTACGCTAGACGTTCTTTGTATTCTCTAACGACTAATACTAATGCCGATGTTATTGCTGCTGCTGTAATAAATGATGATTGCACGCCATCGCTTGCAAACCGCGGTTATCCAGCGTGCTTTGTGGTTGATGTTGTGATGAGGGTTTCGTAAAAAAAAAGGAGCAGCTGGTTGCTCTGTCATTGAGGTAATGCGCATTGTCGCTTTCATCTCTTCTCGTGTTGTTAAGGGCCTGCTTGTCAGTGTCTATTGCAATGTTATCACTTTTATCTACAGTGAATTAATGTCTTGACTGTGTGGTTTGGCGTCAGTCCCGGTGGCTAGTTTGTGAAAGATAACTGAATTGGATGCAATTCGGTGCAATAAGCCTTGTCCTTACTCAAACAAAGAGTGGATACACCTTGAGTAATTTTCAATTAGCACTTCAGTTTGATATAACGCATTCACCAATAATGCAAGATGGCCTTGACGATCCAGACATGAATAACGATTTGACGGTGAAAGCATAAATCTTGAGACGAAGACAAAGTAAGGCAACTTGAGCATAACAGTATAGGGTTGCATTTGATACAGCTGAGACGAGTGATACAAATTAGGTGTGAATTGCTATTAATGATTATGTTATAGATATTGATGTTGTTGTTACTTGCGGAAAAGAAGAAAAGGGAAAGACAGCAGAAAGAGAATGATGAACCTTGAGATTGGCAGACATTAGACGTAATCAAGGTAATCAACATACTTGTGGTCTGCCGCTCTACAAGGCTCATCGTCGGCCTCAAACAGGTACGTAACCACGTCTTTGTGGAAACGTACCCGCCGAGAACCCCTCTCGTTGCCAGCAGACTCTTTCTCCACAGGAACTGTATCACCGAAAGAGTTGCTTCCATCCCCCACTGAAGGTAATTCGGATAAAGATGACTGAGGTAATGACGGATTGGAAGAGGAGGGAGGTGCAACTGGAGGAGTAAGATGAGAGGAGATAGATGGCTCCCCTTGAAGGACAAGAGTAGTATCCTGTCTCTTCAAAGGTCGCTCATCCAACTCATCATCTGCCGACTTTCTCTTTCTACTGCTGCGGATGCTAGTGGTAGAGGAGGAAGTAGAGAACTAGGCATGAATGTTCATATGTCAGTACGAAATATTGCTTCGCGGTAGTTGTCTTGTGTCATGGTACTTACATTGTATTCGTAGCCAGAGCGTAATAACATTTTAGCAATAATTATTTAAACGAGAGCAAAAGGTAAAGAAATAAAATCTACTGCATGAATTCACTTTTATACCTGCATTTGCCTTCAAAGAATAGTGGTCTAGGTTCTTTTTTTCATAGCAATACGCGTCAATAAAGCATGGCAGAATGAGATGCTACTTTTCCTCGTGTATTCTACAGTTAATTTGAGACATCACCAAAAGTGAAGCAACTCTCAATTATCATTTCCCGTAGAGTTAGAAGCAAACGTAGTGCTTAGTATCCTTCCCTTCAATTTTGCAACAACGCTTTTCATAACAAAAAGTTTTACATTTTCCTATACCTGTGTAACAAAAGTCATCATACGATCACGGAGGGATTCAGCCTTACTAAACTTGCCATGGCGCTGGGCATCATCAACTCGACTTGGCCAAAGATGTGTACAAACAACTGTTTCATAGACACGCATAAATGTGTACGTACCAGCATTGCAAATTGCATGCATATCAGAAGTACCTTTGCAACTAGGGTGGAATCTACAGACAGTTCTTATGGATACTGTGTAGTGTCTGTTGAATAGCACTGAGCAAGTCCACACATAGCATCTGACGCAATCAATCTCTATAGAACTGGACACCTTGGGCAGGATCATTATATCCCTGAATAGATGAACTTGCCGTAGAAATTTGGCAAGAGGTCAATGTCTGCATTTAGAGATATGTTATCATACTGGACCAGAAGGAGAAGATAGACAAGCAGATAGTAGGCAAGGCGTACATGAAGATTAAACCCCTGAAAGAAAAGCTTACTGACATGAGCGACAGTAGACAAAATAATTATCCTAGTACCTTCGATGAAAGAGCATTCACTGACATTACACACCGCTTTAATAGTGTAATGCAATAACCTTTTTCACTTCAGAAGTCTGACTCATTTAGGATGCAACGTATATATACAACTTCTTGGTAGATGAATCATCTGTCAAAGGGTATAATCGAATCAAAACATATGTAATTTCAGTCATCGCATGCTTGCATATATCCAATATAGTTGTAAACACTCGCACTCAATACCTTTATTATGTCTGAAGAATCTAGTATTGAACAATATTGCATTATGCTGTGTTCTAAGCTCTTAATCTACAGTATATTCAAGAACTAGTAGCCTTAGAAGGCAAGATAAAAAAAAATATTGTGCAGCAAAAGACTGTAAGCATCATCAAATATTCTTTTATTGTAGCCTTCTTACTTCTTCAATGATGCATAGGAAGCTTTCATAACTGTGAATTTAGCACTTCTCGAGTGCTTACGTCTTCCTCAGCAAAAGCAACATTTATACAGGTAAGCGGCACACTTGCATGACCTCTTACTACTCAAAAATACGCAAAACACAGCGAGATTCGATTTA